AAGGTAGGTAGGTATAACTAACAACCGTTGGCTCCGCTGGCGTTGAAGTAGTGTTAAGTATACATACGTCATACGTCTTGGATTTGCTTAAAAGTGCAATAACTACATTGGAAATAGATATGTTTTACTCAAAGTTTTAATGCCACAATGATAAAGAACCTATGCATGGGGGAGATACAGGTTAAGTTGAATCAGGAAAAAGCTGTGTTCTTGGGGACGTACTTACATCCTGTTAAGAAACTTGTAAAAATTTCATGACTAATGTGGTATTTCGGGAAAACTAAAATTTGATCAATTCGTTTTTATTTCTTTTAACTTTACTTTAAGAAATATCAAAAAACTAATGCAATTTATTCATTGGCACCTGTTAGGCACTACGTGATGTTGTTTTTAAATTTTGTGCCCAGCGTTTCGTTTTCGAGAAACATAACATCAACTTTATTTTTTATATGGCCCGAAAAAAGTACACCGTGTATCTGATAGCAAGATACATTTGTTTTCTTAGTTTTTAGGCCCAGTAATGTCGGAAAATAATATTTTTGAAGGGAACTTAAAATCTTCTTCACACGTGCTGGCGCCGTTCTCTATTTCCTGGTCTAAATCCTTCGCAAATCCTGAATTTACAAGAGTGATTTCTATTTTACGCAAAATAAATTGGGCTGTGGATCTGGTTACTCCTACATTTTTCTCAATTGGCTTTGTTGATATCTCAGAGTTCTCAGCAACTGCTTGTTAAACACTATCCTGAGTTTCCTCTAAAGATTCCTTTTTTCGAGACATAACAGGCATTTGAAACCAACCATATGCATTTAAATTTAGGAAAATGGATGACTTGGCTGCGTTCTTTTGGGAAATCTATAAAAATACATTTCTGCAGGGTTTTAGTATTTGTGTGGCACGTCAGCATGCCGAACTTCTTTTCTTTAATGCTAAAATGACCGCCTGGCATCTCTGATGATAATAAAGCACTACTAATATTCAATAATAACAACATTCGATGTCATGTATTTACGTCAAGCATTCGTTTGCAACGCCTGCTTAAAAAAATTAAAAACCTAAATAACGTATTTTTCTTATAACCAAGAAAATAAATGTGATCGTTGAATTCCTATAAAAAATGCTATTAGATACAGGGTGTACCTTTTTCGGACCATATAAAAAACGAGCAGTTGGGCACAACATTTAAAAACACCATCATGTAGTGCCTAAAAGGTGCTAAAGCTTCATTAGTTTTTTGATATTTCTTAAAATAAAGTCTTAATGAAGTAGAAATGATTTGGCCACATTTTAGTTTTACCCAAATGTCTCAGTAAGCCATGAAATTCTCACAAGTTTCTCAAGGGCATGTAAAGGTGTTCCAAATAATGCAACTTTTTCCTTATTCAACCTAAGCTGAATCTCCCACATCTATTGAGAACCCCATGCATAGGATCCTCATCTTGGCACCTTGTTTACTGTAAATGTGAACGTCTCTCCAGTCTATTAGCATCACGTCTGAACTACAATGCAAAAACAACAATTAGTACATATGCTAATTTATACCCGAGAAAGGGTACAGGCATGGCTCTGTACGCGAACTCATGTACAAATTTGCCATTAGGTATTTATACGGTTTCTGGGAAATACCCGAAAATCCGGAAAACTTTGCAAGCACGCGTTTTTTTTTTGAAAAAAGGCTCTAAGAAAAGTGTCAGGATAAATGAAGTAATTTGTCGAGGACAGCAAATATGAACTCTAAGAGAAATGACACTCTATCAATTTTTATGATCAAAGCAAGTCTTCGTATAGCTTTCTTTTATAACTCACATAATAATTTTTTCTTTAAAAGAAGGATACCACCCTAAACACTGGAAGCTAGCCTTAATTATATCTACCTGTCCCTAAAATATCAAATTCTACTGAAATTAGATATCTTAGACTTAGAAGCTTATAACCCGTGCTCTCCAAAACTCTAGAAGGAAATCATATGGATTATATTTGAAGTAAAACAAAACAACAAACAATTCTATAACATAACGATCACTCTACAGGAATAAATACACTGCAAATGCCCTACTTATATACCCTTACTCATTTCGGTCGGACCGGCAACTGAGCCACCTCATGTCAGTTTCCATTAAATTATTTGGACTGTGTCCCGTGAAACGAATATTCCAAAGTTATTTCTCCGAATAAGAACTAGCCTAAGTGCTGTTCCAAACTATAATATATCTCAGTACCAAATTTCATCCACATCCGCCCAGCCATTTTAGCCTGATTGAGCAACAAACATCTACACTTAATTATTAATGATATTAGTAGAGATTTACCGTTATGAATCTAATCGCATAACGCAGCTATTGCCATCTTTGCGTGAAAGATTTAACGCACCAGCCTATTTCAGATTACGGGCACAAGGGTTCCTTAAGAGGATGGACAGAATCGATTCCCAGCCTCAAGTACTTGAAGACAGATGGCGCTAATAAAAAATGTTTTTTTATCAGGAAATTACATACGGAGATGAGTGAAAAATACTTGGAACAATTTCTCAGACATGAATGACATATTGCTATAGTGATCCAGATCAAAATCTATAACAAAACTCTACACAATATAAATAGACCGTGACATACTGTCAGACTGTAGATGCGTAACTCATTGTCTTATGGTAAATATTGTGCGATACCGGCTTAAATCCATTTGTCCTCTCAAATATTTGAAGTTTTCATTGCAGCGTTGTGATAATAGGTACGTACACTGCTGATGTATGTCTCATTTGTTGCTTCATATGGTTTTGAGTTACTAATTACCCAATGTACTGCTACAACTTTAGGTGATCTAATAGTTCATTCATGTGTGAAACTATCTAATTGTAAACTAAACTGTTTCAAAAATGTCAGCTTAATAGAAAAATAAACTTAACCTAACCTTCTCCTGTGCGCGATCTGTGGGTAGTGGATAAAACTACCATATCGATTCCATGGTAAATACAACTGCTACGTCTTGCTACCAAGGTCCATGTAGCTTGTTAGTTTACGCGGACAGATGGCACCACGGTTAGAAAATATGTGGTGACCTAAGTTGTTTTGAGGTCTAATGATATATGATTTAGAGCTTTACGAACGATTGTGGTTGAACCATTTTTTTTATAGGAAATTGTTCTATTAATTATATTTTCCCTTTATTGACTATTTTGTCGACACTGTGGAGCATACAGCAACAAGGTTCAGCAAAAATTAAACTTCAACAATCATGCATTTAATCTGCCTTTTTCACACGCGTGACGTCACTCGGTGACAAAATTCCCCAGAGTCTGGTAACCTACGTTCAGTTTCATATGACGCCTTTCCACGTTTTCCTTTTCTTCGTTTGTTATCTCGTGTCTTTCAAATAGGTCTCCGTATGAAATATATTTGAAAAACAGTGGATTACACGTTTAACTATGGTGTACTGTGCAGTGGTGGATTGTTCAACCAGCAACAACAAAAACAGCAAAGACATTCCGAATTGGAGTTTGTTCAGTTTTTCTAGCAACACAAATTTAATAAATTTGAATTAAATTCGACAATTTCAGTACAGGGTCATTAAAACTGACTAAAAGTTATTGGGAATCGTTATAATGGATTAAGCCACAGTAGTTAGCTATGGCGGCTAGTGTAAGTGCAAAGGCTAAGCATCTTTTTTTTTAATGTAAAATGTATTTTAAAATCCGAATGTTAAATAGAGATATAAAAGAAAAATCCAGAATCGGGAAGACGAAAACGATGAACCTTGTAAAATAACCTCAATAAAACTTTACCAATACAAAATACTTTTATTAATATATATATATATATATATATATATATATATTTTCTGTATAAAAAGATATAACAAAATGGTATATATGTCACTAATGCACAAAAATATTATTTGGAGCTCCAAAGAGGTTTTAGTCTGAAAAGCATCAGGTGCATTTTCAATGGTTAAGTCTTAAGTTATTTGGAACCTTTCAGTTCGTCTATTGTTAATTTTCCAAAGTGACTTCTTCATAGTGGTGATGCATTTATCTACTGTATAAAGATGTGCTTCAGAAAATTGTATTAGCAAATCATCAAAATATCAATAAAACATTCTGTGTAATACTGAAATTATAATGTAAGCTCGCTAACACAACAAAATATTGAAAAGAAGACGCTCTAATGCAATTCACTTCGTACCGACAAGCGAAACATTTGTCACCGAGTGACGTCATGCGCAAAGGCGTACCAATTTAGACTGCGAAGTGATACCTTCTCGAATTATAGTATCATAGTTAACAATGATTCGCGTATTCTACCTGAAGATATCCATACCTAGTGTAATGTAGGGAAAAGTAGGGTAAATCGTACCAATTTTTAAATTTTTGACCACTACTCAAAAATTAACCTCTATTGATAATATTAGTACACAAGCACAAATACACATTTAGCTTTCTATGAATCAAAATTTCAACTGAAACATCTCGAGCAAAAAAATACAAAAAAAGAAAGGCTTGCAAGTGGTACGTTTAATTTGTTATTTACAGTTCTCACACACATATTTTTTTATTTGTTTTTTGTTTCCTGCACATGAGTATTGCACCTATGGTAAGCTCTGGAGCCATACGTTTTCTCTTAAAAATTATCATGGGCGGTACAGTTTGACCGGCAGCACTGACACAAACTACAACTGTGGTATTTACGCCGCTTTCACCACTTGCTATATCTCCAGCTTTCCTCTACGTGCAATATTTTTTGATTCCGTTTCTGAACTGTTGAAAATCCACTTTCATCAACATTATACAGTTTTTGAGTTGTGAAACCGTTTTCATCAACACATTTTTCTAAAATATCTAAAAACTTATGGAAGTTTCTTTGGTTGAATCCAGTTGCTTAGGCCGTGGAGATTTTCTCTGGTTGCCTAAGTGACAGTTCAGGATGTCGGTCCATAAAAAAATAATACCATCCTTTCCCCGCCATTTCTTTATTGATATTGAAACGGTGTGGAATATCATTCCGAACAGCTATTGGAAAAGCCAATCGTCGAACATTCCGAATTGTTACATAAAAAATCTTTTTTCCAGCTTTAAAATATGTTTTGCCAATTCCATTTAAATTTCAGGGCTAAAAGTTGTGTGTCGACCCAGAGACTGAACATTTTCATTTGCCTTTTTATTTAAAGAGGGCAAGTGCCTTCTAAAAGTCGGCTCTGGAATCTTATAACGTCTGCAGCACTCATTCAAACCACACTGGTTTTGTTTGTATGCATTAATCGCATGGTCCATCGACAGTATTCCCGTTTTGTTATTTTCTTATTTCTACCTTACCCATCCTCTTTGTTAGAAACCTGTAATAAAAACTTTGTTGAAAATCGAGGCAAAGAGCCTCAGTTGGGTAAATCGTACCGGTATTAATTATCATAGCAACAACTAACTATATGTCCATAAAATACGTAAAAAATATATCTTAAAAATATCTACTTACCAAATATAAAAAAAAGCTTATGAATAGGAGCAAAAATAACATGAACAACTCTGCTTTTAATTTAACCTCAAACTGAATTACAACGTGAAGTGAACTGCAAGGAATATTTTGGGCGGGGCAAATATAATCATAAAAGCTTCTAAGTTTTGACAAGGGATGTCACGGGTATTATTTCGAAAATACCATGTGGTAAGATTTACCGGGCGGTACGCTTATCCGACATGAAATGAGATACCATAGCGTGATTTATGTGGACTTGTCACTGCTATATTTCTTCTCTACGCAATAATTAGTAAACCTCCAGATTTTTGTTATACATATATACCGAAGCAGCCGCGCAGGCAGAAGCCTAAATGACGGAACACCGCGGCTTCTATGATGATCCCAACAAAATTTTGTTAATACGATTTTTGAACTGTCTAAGGCTAGTAGAACTAGGAAAAGATTTCTCTTGTAGATTGTTCCACAATCTCCACACTCTCGGGACAAAGGAACGGTCGTATCGGCCAGTTCTGGATGTACGAAATTCGACACGGTTAGGATGGTAGGCCAAAATCAGGCGGGTCTGTCTGGCAGGCACATCGCGCGGCGGCATCATGGAAGAGAGCTCTGAGGAGCAAAGCCCGTTGGTGTAGCGATAGAAAAGAGCTAGATCGCCGACGGCCCGCCGGTGCGAAAGAGTCCCGAGACTGTCTGTTAGAGAAGAGTCATCGATCAGTCGGACCGCCCTCCTCTGGACAACATCGAGCATGGACAATGTAGTCGGGGCGGCAGCACCCCAAATGTGTGAGCAATAGACGAGGCTAGACCTTATTTGGGCCTTGTATAGAGTGAGAAGGTCATACGGAGAATAGTACTCCTCAGCCCTAAACAAATAGCCTAGCTTTTTCCCAGCATTGGTCCCTATTGATAAATGGTGTTCGTGTCAGATCAAGTCCTCGGTGATATGGACACCGACCAGTCGAAATGAACGGCCCTTTGGCAGAACTCGGCCGTCCATCGAAACCCGATGAGTGGTATGACGCTTTTTGTTCGTGGAAAGTACATTACTGTGTTTTGGAAGCATTAAACTGTACAAGATTGTTGCGTCTCCAAGCAGTGATAACGTCTCGGTCTCTCGTCAGGGGGGACGTCGTCGCTAGTCTTCCTTTTCGGCGTCGGCAATTTTAACCTTTACAAAATGTTTTGGATATCGATCAGGGATCTTTGTAACGTCAAATAAACTAAGTTTCAGCAATCTTAACTTTTTTGTTTTCGGTCCTACCTCCTCCGCCACTGGGCCGATTTCGAAAAGCGATATAGCTTATTCGTTCTTGCTATACTTGTGTGAAAATTTCAAAATCCGAGCGGTATTTTCCAAGCTATAGACGGGCCAAGAATTGGTGGACAGATCGACAAACAGACAGACTGAACGACGGAAATGAGTGAAATGTTTTTTTTATGATGATGATGATTATACAACATCCAAGAAACATGATATGTCATTTACTAAATTTCACACATTTTACAAATTTTTTTTAGGTTTACGATTCAGTCACGTTTGCCCCATGTTGCTTATTTACCAGCAGCTCAAAATTACTTCAAAATTGCTTCGTCATCTTCACTTTTGGATATCATTTAAATGCCAGTGGTATTATGAGCAAAAAACGAAATAGCTTCTTATCGGTCTTATACTCTGTTTTTGAATGAACAACGTCCTGAAATTGCTTTCATAAATATGGGCATAATCAAAAAAATTCCTAGCGAGGTTATAACTTTGTGAAATTTCAAAAAATATTTTCTTTGTTTCTGATTACCTCAGGCTGAAGCATAACCAAAAACATTATTATCTAGATCAAGAACTTATTTTTGGCCTATGGAAACTTTGAAAATATGCCAGGGTTGTTATGTATTAATCAAAATGTTTAAAACGGGTGTTTTAAACACTGTTTAAAACAATGAAGGTGTTTTAAGCCAATTTGCTGTAAACTGTTTAAAACAAGTTTTAAATACTGTTTTTTGTCGTTTGTGAATTGCTCAAGTTTTTTTTATTTTTTTTTAGTATGATTAAAATTGTTTTTATTTTGCAAAACGGAACTAAAAGAGCCACAGCTTAAAACACATAGGTACTAAAAAATATACTTTACTTTTTACTAGTTAATCAAACGTGAAACAAGGGAAGTAATACTAGTGGAACAAAAATCTGTTTCTTAACGAACGAGAGAAGTTAAGAAACTGCATTGAACTCTAATACTAGTACACTACAAGCAGCAGAATAATCATATAATATGTCTATGTATTTACTTGTATAATAACATTAAATAAGTTACCTAACAAATTTCTGTAAAAGTATAGAATCCATTTTATTTAACAAAAAATCAAAAAATCCTTTTATCGTTTGTGAATTACTCAAGTTTTTTTATATTTTTTTAGTATGATTAAAATTGATTTTATTTTGCAAAACGAAACTAAAAGAGCCACAGCTTAAAACACATAGGTACTAAAAAATATACTTTACTTTTTATTAGTTAATCAAACGTGAAACCAGGGAAGTAATACTAGTGGAACAAAAATCAGTTTCTTAACGAACGAGAGAAGTTAAGAAACTGCATTGAACTCTAATACTAGTACACTACAAGCAGCAGAATAATCATATAATATGTCTATGTATTTACTTGTATAATAACATTAAATAAGTTACCTAACAAATTTCTGTAAAAGTATAGAATCCATTTTATTTAACTAAAAATCAAAAAATCCTTTTGTCGTTTGTGAATTACTCAAGTTTTTTTTATATTTTTTTAGTATGATTAAAATTGATTTTATTTTGAAAAACGAAACTTAAACAGCCACAGCTTGAAGCACATAGGTACTAAAAAATATACTTTACTTTTTATTAGTTAATCAAACGTGAAACCAGGGAAGTAATACTAGTGGAACAAAAATCTGTTTCTTAACGAACGAGTGAAGTTAAGAAACTGCATTGACCTCTAATACTAGTACACTACAAGCAGCAGAATAATCATATAATATGTCTATGTATTTACTTGTATAATAACATTAAATAAGTTACCTAACACATTTCTGAAAAAGTATAGAATCCATTTTATTTAATAAAAAATCAAAAAATCCTTTTGTCGTTTGTGAGTTACTCAAGTTTTTTTTATATTTTTTTAGTATGATTAAAATTGATTTTATTTTGCAAAACGAAACTAAAAGAGCCACAGCTTAAAACACATAGGTACTAAAAAATATACTTTACTTTTTATTAGTTAATCAAACGTGAAACCAGGGAAGTAATACTAGTGGAACAGAAATCTGTTTCTTAACGAACGAGTGAAGTTAATAAACTGCATTGAACTCTAATACTAGTACACTACAAGCAGCAGACTAATCATATAATACGTTTATGTGCTTACTTGTGTATAATAACATTAAATAAGTTACCTAACAAATTTCTGTAAAAGTATAGAATCCATTTTATTTAACAAAAAATCAAAAGATCCTTAAATCCACATTTTTAAAATATAAAATTATGGAAAATGTATATAGAATGAATTTTTATTTTCCACTACTTTTTACGGAACTCCAAGTAAAAAAAAAATTTTTAATCTACCTTTTCACGCTTTGATTTAGGTGTTTAAATACTGTGACTAATTTTGCCAATTTTTCTGTGCCCAACTTAGTACGAAGTTTGGTGTGGATTATCCCAAATGAGGAAGCAGATGAAGCTGCTGCTGTATGAAGCTGCTGAACTAGGTCAACTGTAACTTCATTTAAGTTATCTTTCAAGTACTTCCACCAAACAAGTGGTGTGAGGCCTTTCAAATTGTCTCGAAATAAATAATGTTTTTGCCTGATAACTTACAATAAAAGACATCGCTTCAGGATAATAACGAGTGGCATACTCAAGACCTTCTTCGCGTTGCTCTAGATTCAATTTAAGTCCTTGGAATCGATGATCTAGTATATTTGCCAGATAGTGTGCTGGAGACATAGCCATATGAAACATTTTTACAAAATGATTTCTATCTCAATCGATGCAATTTTAATTTTCTTTAACAAGGGCAAATAGGTCAATCCAAATTTCTGTGCATTCGTTAATTGCACAGTCATCTTGTTGATTCTTAACCAGGGCAATTGCTATATGTTTTCTTCTTCTTCCTCTTCCTACTTATTTAGCCTCAATTGATGTTGTCTGACCATCTTTTCCTCCCCATTTAGTTTTCTTACCTGGAAATTTGACCGGTGAAATGTATTTGGAGTTACTGGAAGAGGCCATACATCCTGCATTAACAGCCATAATTGAAAATCAGAATGATCGGCGGTACGTTGCGAATATACGACAATATTTAGATCAGACGTTTCCAGATCGATGGATTGGTAGAAGAGGTGCCATTGAATGGCCCCCAAGATCGCCAGATTTATCACCTCTGGATTTCTTTATGTGGGGTCATTTAGAAAGCAAAAGCTATGCTACTCAGCCAACATCATTAGAAGACCTGCGACAAAGAATTGTGAATGACTGCCTTCAAATTACTCCTCAAATATTGCAAAATGTCCGGCAACGTTTTGACCAAAATCTTTATTATTGCATTGGAGAGTCATGGTGGTCATTTTCAACATTTACTTGCCTAACGGGTCAGTTCATTCTTCATTTTTAAATTACTTTGTTGCCATGTATTGATCTCCATTAATGATGATGTATTAGTTTTATTTAAGCTTTAAATCAATAAATCTTCAAAACTACTGAACTGAAGTTCATTAATTGTATATGATTATAAATGTAATTTAAAGACCTTTAAAATAAGGTATCACTCGGCCCCCCTTTCTATTTAAGATTTTGGGGGTGGTGTCACCCCCGCTTAGGGGGCTGCACGTGCTAACGTAATTTTTTGCCAAACTTGTGTCCCCCTCGAAAACAACATCGACAGGTCTGAGCCTTTTTCAAAAAAAAACTGAGCTGTCAGTAAATGCGTCTGTTTCGTTTTCGATGCGCCACCCTGTATAGGCAGTAGTTTTTTAATTTTTTTTTACTGTTTTAAACATGTCTTCTCAGTGTTTCAAACATGTTTTTTTTTTCAGCTAAATTTGAATGTTTCAAACAAAAAAAAACAGTTTTAAACAAAAAAAAATGATTTTTGTTTTTTGAAATTAGCATACGGGAAAAACCAAATTTGTCTGACGGAGTGAGTTCAATGTGTACGAGAGGTGTGTATCAACACATGTTAGAAGTAAAAAGAAGCTGGCTCAAGAGAGAAGGTTATCACCACATTGCCTAGCCACTGTGACGCAAAAGGTCGTAGGTAATCTGCCGCGTTGCCAACATGTTACACCAGATCCTAAACAGATTCGACACAATTCACAATTCAAAAATGTGTACGCTCAAAATAAAACCAATATTTGGATGTTGAGAATAAACTAACGCGTTCAGCTCAAGGAATTGGTGTTACATATTGGCAACGCAGCATATTGCCGCGTCAGCGTTTCTAGCCACCGCGGTGATGAGCTTCGCTATCCATCCGGCTTCTATCTCTTTCTAACATATGTATATGTCTATACACACCTCTCTCTCATACACATTGAAGTCAATCCGTCAGACGAATTTGGTTCTCAGTGATGATCGGAAAGTAGCGAGTCAGTCTACATGACAATATTTTTTGTGAAACACCTTTTTTGTTAAATAGTCCACAGTTGAGGACAATTTTAGCGTCTCTGTAAATACAGTTCCAAATCTGAAAGTTTAATTTCGAAAAGCATCTTCCGCCTGTTGCAGTTGGAATCTGAATGGTTAAAAATAGGAACCATGCTATTATCACCTTTTTTTTTAATACTCCAACTACCACTAAGGCCTAAGGCCTAAGCACCCATTAGGTACCATGGGGCTTGTACGATCTAAGCAATTGACTCTTGAGCATTTACAGATGCGCGGCCTAAAAACCGTTTGATTGTGAATAACACGCATTTTTACTTTCACACGTAAGCTGAGAGCCCCGTATCGTTGAGACCGTTGATACGTTGGAGTTCAGATTATACCCTTCCAGAATCCATTATAACCAACTCCCTATCAATCCTTTCCAGCTCCTGATGAACCAGTTCCTAACATAGACGTCACCGCAGCTTTGGAGGAAGATGACATACAGACAAACAAAACAACTAGTAACATTGTAGAAAAGAAATCAGACGAAGATGACCTCTTCATTAACACGTTATGGGGGATACATAATGAACTCGATGAATTGCGCGGTAAGAGCAACATGCCTTACGCGTCAGATATAATCATAGCATTCGATAGAAAAACTGCTACAGTACTGATTTCTCTCGTCTTTTAGAAAGCTTTTGATATGGATGGATTGTTTTGTGCTAAACTCCAATATTATATGGCCTCGATGGCATATCTTCAAGTCACACCTATCTGATCGTATTCAAAATGTCAAAACCGGGAGTTATAACATTCTGATAGTAAAGAAAGTGTGCAGGAGTTCCCTAGGGCACAAGTCTGGGGTCTCTACTATCCATAAGGTATGCCCTAAAAGTTTTGGCACAAAGTATTTATCGGAATGAAGAAATTTATTTAAACACTACGACTCAGTACTTAACTAAACTATACTATCGAATTATGTGGAGTGGCCCATTCTGCTCTACCAGAGGCAACTTTCTTCGAATGTTTCTCATTATGGATCGAAATCAGATCGATTTCTTTCAGTTTTTCGTAAATTCGCAGTCTTAATTGTTCATCTTGGGCTACCTTGCCTCCATGAAAAACCGAGACAGCAAAGTAAAGCCCAAAAATCCTCTATTGGGCGACCCTGCGGAAGGTTTGGAGGATTATCGTTTTTGGTAACAAAGGGTGTGTTGTGTTGTAGAAGCCAGTTTTGGGTATCTCTTATGTAATGTCATGATGCTAAGTGTGGCCAAAACATGATACAGCTCTGTATCTCAAAGGTTAGGACGTTCAGAACATATGTTCACATGACTTGTTTTTCTTGAAATGGGTCCAAGAATCACCTCCTTACATGTTAGCATGCCATTTGGGAAAATCTGTTAAAGGGATGTTATACATGACATTTGAGGGCACATTTCTAAAATATTGGCCATTACACAGGGTGTCCCAATTTCGACCTACATATCAAGGTTGTGATTTTCCAAAGGAATGCCTCAAATTTGATTGCATATTTGGATAAACCAATTCAAAAGAAGTAAACTGATATAACATACTATGGGGTTTTGGTTATTAGCTACTGAGATATAAGGTGTTTTGTCTAGAAAAACCCCCCACTTTGGCAACCCCTCAGTCCGCCATTTTGAAATTTGGAGTGCCAAATTTTGTATCAAACAAAACTTACACATCTGAGCTTTAACCTTATTCGTTACTTTTTCGAATTTTCATTTTTGCTCATACAGGGTGGTCAAAAGCGCAGATTGTAGTTTTCTTCAAAAATTTCATATGCATCACCCTTTATATTTGTGCGAGTTTGGATTCAATTTTTTATAAGCTTTTTTTGATACTACATACATAAGGGTTTTTACGGCTATTTTTTCTGTCATTAGCATGTTTTCTATGGAACGGCTTATTTCCCTAAAATAGCATAGCATATCGCATTTATAAGCAACGGTACCCTAGTATGCGACATCCAAGGCCGGAAACATTTTCCACACTACGAGAACGTTTTGAATCAAGTGGAGCAGTGGAATATAGTAAAAAATGTATAAATAATCAAAGTGTCACCAATGAGGCGAATCAATTGGAGGTTCTATTAAAGTTGCAGCAAAATCCCCATTTAAGTGCACGGCAAATTGGAGCAGAAACTGATATATGCAGAACTTCTGTCCAAAGGATTATTCACAAGCATAGGTACCATCCATAGAGAGATAAAGATAAAAATGACATAAGACTCGTCCTAAGAGGGAGGTACATAGTACACATAATTAAAAAAAAACGAAACAAACATAAGTACAAACAGGGACAACTTAAGGCGTACAGACATTGACATATAAAAAAAGTTTAAAAAAATATATCACAGTGCGAGGTATTCAGACAAAGAGTAGAAACATTTTTCAACTAATAATTTTCGTAGTTTACATTTAAAACTAGCAATACTACTGACATTCCTGAGGTTAGCTGAAAGTTTGTTATATATTCTGATGCAGGTGTATTCCAGTGACTTTTCGAACAGCGTCAGTGTGTGTTTTGGAATACTCAGACTCTCACCTGCCCTTGTATTATAATGTATGTTGATGTTTTTGTTTTGTATAAATTTTGTTTTGTTTGTATGTGTGAAACGGGGACACTTATGAATATGAATGCTTGGTAGAGTCATGATGTTTTTATTTCTGAAGATATCTCTGCAGGATTCTCTTCTACGAATGTTGAATATCAATCTGATTATTCTCTTCTGTTGCAGAAATGCTCTAGAAATTGAAGTTGCTTGTCCCTAAATTATGATGTTCCTTGATAAATGTGAGTGGACGAGAGCATAATATATACGTACATCTAGTAAAGCTGACTCTGAAAGCAAAACGTGAGCTTAAGAATCGCATAATATGACACACACTGTCCATGTGTTGTTGCCAACTGAGCTTTGCATCCATTTCTATTCCCAAGAATGTCGTACTTTTCGATGTCTCATGATTTGCTAGATTAGGGGCGTTTGTATAAAAATATACAACATCTGACTTTTCGAGGTTTAAAATCAAACGATTTGCTTGGCAGCACCCTTGATTTCACCTTTTACTCCATTTATTTTTGCAATAGTGTCATTGCGTGTAGTTCCACTTACAAGAACTGGGGTATCATCCGCATAATTTGTTACAAATCCAGAGAGATGCAAATCACTTATATATAGAATGAATACAAGGGGTGCTAAAACTGAGCCTTGCGCTACTCCAATGTCGATACTGTACGTTGCGGATGTAATTCCGTTAACTTTGGTTTTGAATTTCCTGTCAGACAGGAAAGACACTACCCAATCTAATATAAAACCTCTTAAACCTAAATAAAATAATTTTTCCTCGAGAAGTCCAATGTCAATTGTATCGAAAGCTTTCGATAGGTCAAAAAAGATGCCCGCGATACATTTATTCATATCGAGCTGTTTATACAGGGTGACTTTGAGGTTGAGTCATTAATTTTCAGATAATGATTGTAGAAGGAAGATAAACCAAAATATGTGTGTAAAAATAAAAAAAAAAAATAAAAAAAAAATGTTACCTTGTTTAATAAAGTATCCTCCCGACAAGTATTTCAGTGCGGACCTGTATTTGATCGTGCGGTCTTGGAGCAGCATGCCCTCACCTGTGAGGTCTTAAGTCACCTGATTCACGAGCCCTTTGCACTACATTAACAAAGGCACGAGGGGTTGGTTGCACTCGATTGGGAAACCGATTCGCATAAATCCGTGATGCATCCGGGAGCATTTTGTAAAGACTGCCCCCCCGTAAATAAGAATCATGTCCACAAGTTCAGCATTTTCATAAACATGTGCCATTTTTGATTCCGTTTGAGCCACGCAACACACTACTATTCACTCAGGATTTATCGACTGACGAAAAACATCGTGATAAACGTTTCAAATTCTTTCGCTTTTTTGTTTCCGATGCGATGAACCGGTCAGGCGGATTATATCCGTTGTCGCCAAACACGAGCATATAATAGGCAGGGCGGTACTCAAACTTCCAAATTGCTATAACTTTGTTACTTTAATTTTACCAGAAAAATGGTAAAGGAAAAAAACATTTCTTTTGATCAGATCTACTCACTGTTAAAATAAATGACTCAACTTCGAAGTCACCCTGTATATCTGACATACAAACTCATAAGTAGATGTCTCTATTGAATGAAGTTTCCTAAATCCATGCTGCGAGCTTGGGATAAGGTTGTATTTTTCAGCATATCCCAAAATTCTTGAATAAATCGATCTTTCGATTATTTCAGAAAAGATTGACAACAATGATATGGGGCGGTAATTATCAACTTGAGTAGGATCTCCCTTTTTTTGGAACGGGAACTATTATCACAAGCTTCAGGGATTTAGGAAATTTGCCTTGATAGACAGACATGTTAATTAAAGTAGTGAGAGGACCTGCAATTTCATTTAAAACACTTTTAATAACACGAGTAGTTACACCGTCACTACCACACGATTGTTTGTTTGGAAGGTTGGATATGATTAATTTCACTTCTTCATCGGTGACCTCAGTGTAGAACATTGAATGCGCTACTTGAGTTTAAGCTTCTGCTGCTGGTAGTGGGGATACTCCTTTGAAGTGGTGTTGGAGCTTACTTACAACTGTGCTTGAAAAAGGTTTCCCAAAAGCGTCAGGCACACTAATCTGTATCATATCTCCACCGTTGTCATTTTTAAGTGAAATTACTCCAGAGTTCTTTTTACGTCCAAGCTCCTGGTTGACTATTTGCCAGATCTTTTTTGTCTTATTATCAGCTGTTTTAATTTCGTTGCAGTTATATTGCTGCTTGGCCATTGAGATCAGTTTGCGATGTTGCTTTTTTGTTTGTACAAATTTCGTAGATTGTTGCTCGACTGTTCTAACTCCGGTGTTATCCATGATTTGGGTTTTGTTAAATGTCTGCACGTAATAACTTTCTGAGGACATGTCCTATCGAAATACCACAGAATTTTTCGAAAGCATCATCTATATCGGGCTCTTCAATATTCCAAGGTTCTTGCTATGCTTGCATCAAGACCTTCGTCCTCAGGATTTCGCAGCTCGAATGGAATTCAGTAGAATAATGCTAAATAAAGTAATAATAATAATAATAATAATAATGACTTTATTTAGAAGATGATCATAGTATGGCGAAGTTTAGCCATGGCTACTCTACCACTCAACCATACTACAACCTGACGTCACAAAACATTAGCATAACAACATGAATCAGTAGTTGTATGGAATGCATTAAAAAGGAGTAAATATATAATATGAACATATAGAAAGAAAAGAAACAAAAGAATAAGATATATAAAGTGGAACTTGACTGTCTTCTTGAAGCGCTGCAAACTTAAGCTCTTAGAAATAGCTGGTAAAGAATTGTATACCTTGACCGCATTATAAGTAAAGGACCTTTCAAAGACCGACGTACGATGTATAGGAATGGAAAGTAGACCATTGTGCCGCAGACTTAGAGTAATTTGGTTTCCACGAGGAATCAACTTACAGAGCAAATAGAGTGACTGAAGATACTACTTTCCCGGATAAGGTTCTATATAGCGATGAGGCAACTTTTAACAGCATGTTGTCAAAAGGCATAACATGCACTAATATGCGACGGAAAACCCTTACTGGGTTAGGCAAACAGATTTCCAAAATAAATGGAGCTTGAATGTTTGGGGAGGAGCTATTGGCAGACAAGTTATCGGGCCTTTCTTTTTTGACAACAGATTAACAGGAACAGAATACTTGAATTTTTTGATCGAGCATTTGCCTTCGATTTTGGAGTATATCAACCCGCAAACTCGAATGCATAGGTCCTTCCAACATGATGGCGCACCTGCGCATTATCATAATCGTGTGCGTAACTATTTGGACACCTGGAGTTGGATCGGTCGTGTAATGGGCCTATATCTTGGCCTCCTAGATCAACAGATATGACACCGATGGACTTCCTTCTTTAGTGCTACGTTAAGCAAGAGGTTTATAGATATCCACCATCTACCCCGGAAAATACGAAGGAAAGGATGGAGGATGCTTTTCTGAACATAAGGGAACACATGCTGAAGGATGTGCAACGGTCATTTATCCTAAGACTACGGCTGTGTATTCAACATGGTGGAGATATTTTCGAGCAGTTTTTGTAGATTACGTCTTGAGTAGTGATAGTTGTTTGTCTATCTTCTTGTTGTAGTTGTTTTTCCCTATTACGCTTAAAGCTGATTTATGCTATTCTGATTGTTATTAAATTTTACGTCAAATCTGTACTCAGTGGCAGTATGGAACTAGCCCTCTGTTTGTCTTTTGTTTCCATGGATGATGCCCAACTAACAATTATCACTCCTATTAGAGTTGCAAGAATGATTATACAGTATTCCTTAAACAGCATTGTATACTATAAGAACATTGGCAAAACCCTCTTAGAACAGCTATACAAGCGGAATGGGCACACCTAATAGGACACTTCAGTCATTTAAGAGGTTGTATAAGAGCTGCAGGTAACAGTTATACAACAAATGTGTAAACCTCTTGCAGTCGCTAGAGAACATTTGCGTCAGTGCAAGATTCAGTTTTTGTCAACTATACAGTTATTCTGTTACGTGATTCTACTTTATTGCAACCAAACTATTTCTTATATATTGTATAGGCGAAGTGGAGAATATATAACTAACACATTGCAGTCATCTTGTTTACTTACATATCGGCCATTGTGAATTTCATACACAGGTATATGATAAACTTCTACACTGTGATATAGGGCTATTGAATTACTTGCGCAGCAAATTTTATTGTGATTAACGTGCAAAGTAGTTACGCAATTTGTACGGGCTTCGTATTTGATTCATATTCTAATAATGATCAAAAGTATGTTTAGATTTTTAAGATGAAAAACTGAACTTATCTGCGTTGAATCTTCCACAAATCCTATAAATAATTAGACACAATTACACTAATGTTTATCACTTTATATCTGTAATGTCGAACCAAAACATAATTAATTAATATTTTCAATAGAAGAATATATTTTTGCCCAATATGGCGGGTGGTTATGTATAATCATGGCATCGTCCATGTTGCCTTTGGTTTATTAGAATATTTTGGTGCTGTCTGCAAGTGTTATTCAACAATTTGACAAATCTCTGAAATGAAATACGGACAGAGTCGAATGATTTACCCAGATCTATATCTCCTGTTTGAACAGTTGATACAACCTTTTAAACCACTATGCACGTCATAAAATATTGGTTATGGCATTTTAACTAAAAAGATGACAGCAGAAAGTTAGGTTATGGTGAAGTTGTATACCGACATGTTTAACAACAAATGTATGCCGAGCACAGCAATTTTGTAGTATAAAAGTTGTAATATTGTTGCAGATGTACAGCCTTTAACAGTTACGACTGTTGTATAAATGCCCTTGGGAGAAATTTGTTGGCTAAAGTAGTAAATGTGCACACCAAAACAACAAGGCTCGAGTTTGTTGTATAAACGTTACCATGGATGCCACAACACAACTATTTTGACTACCGAGCAAATATGACGTATAAAATAGTTGTATAAACGTTTATGCAACCGTTCAAAATTTGTCCTATAAGGTATAACTATGCTATAAGAATATTTTAAACACCTCATTTTAGAGCAAATATCCTGCAGAAGGCAAATTTGCATTCCACACAACATTAAGCCAGCATTTTGTTGTTCAGGCAACAACAATAGAGAGCTTTTACAGTTCTTCTATCAAAAGCTTATAGCACTACTTTGCTAGTTGGGTGTGATTGTTCTATTAAAAGCTTAATAACCCAAAATCTGGTGATTTTATCTGAATCAAACCTCATCTCAAAATAAAGCTTATAAAAAATTGGATCCAAACTTGCAGGGTAATCCGTGTGACATATTTGAGAAAAACTACAAATTGCGTTTTTGACCACCCCGTATGATTAAAAAATTAAAAATCGAAAAAGTAACAAATAAGATAAAAACTAAGGTATGTAAGTTTTTTTTGTTACAAAATTCAGCACTCCAAATTTCAAAATGGCGGACTAAGGGATTGCCGATTCCAGACAAAGCACCTTATATCTCAGTAGCTAATTACCAAAATCACATAGTATGTTATATCAATATTCTTGTTTTATCCAAATATGCAATAAAATTTGAGACATTCCTTCTTAAAAATCGAACTCTGATATGTAGGTCAAAATTGGGACACCCTGTATAATTGCCAATATTTTCGAAATGTGCCCTCAAATGTCATGTATAACATGTCATAAATAGATTTTCCCAAAATGTATTTATGAGTAATATTCCGTCCACACATCGATGGGCCACCCTGTAGGTATACAGTTTCTTAGAAATTTGTTCCAAATATGTTGGCAATTGGTCTGGATGATTTATTCAATCCTGCACGGGTATTACGTAACTTGAAAAGTGACATGTCGAGTTTTTTACATTATATTGGTTTTTTGAGACATTATTTTCTACAAGATGTTAACTTAGCACTAGCTGATGGACACTTTGTGGACGTTTTGTAGTTGTACGTGTCTCCTAAACGTCATTAGGCTTCAGTTATCAATGTTTGGCACTGTTGAGATGTAAAATCTGCTTCAGTGATGGCATTACTGGAGGTCTAAGCTGTAAGTTGTATACTGTAGCTAGGAGGAATCGGTAATGCTTAGGTGCATAGTGAGGATTTGTCTGCTAATAATATGTGTTGATGATAATTCTATTGGATTCTTGTCTCAAATATACTTACCTGAGAAATTAGTTGCGCATCCACTTTTTTTCATCCATCCTAGAAATTATATATTATGCAAATTTGCTGAATATCAAAAATGAGAGAGATCAGAAATAATTATATTCACTGTACACTGTCGAATTAAAAGTCAAATACATGCTAACAGTAATACCCAACAACGCGGGCGCGGTGGTGATTTCCCGTAATTCTCCTCACAGTTTTTGAAAACACAAAAAAACATAAAAAAATCATATTTATAATTTTGAACGTAACCTGTCTTCAGAAAGGACAACATATAAATAACCCGTCGGGCACAGCTAATAGTTATACTTCAGTGGCAGCATATTCAGTAATGATTTTCTCACACAGCAAATATCACTGATTTTATACACATGTACACTAATACACAGAATCATCCCGATGCGATCTTGCTATTCAACCAACCTTCTTCTCAGAGATGAAGCCTATGGACTACTCGGCTTCACAAGACAATAACCATATCAACGATCCTGAGCATTTTATAGGTTTTTTTTACGGTTTATAGGTTTTTTACATAATACCTGTAGGGAGTAGTGGCATGAAAGAGCCAGTTTTATAGACGTAGCCAAAAAATAAACTTTTAATGAATGAAATGATTATTTTTTTAGTCAAACTATTATTTATTTATTAAAGTATATATTTCATACAAAAAAATCTAAAATACGGTATATAAAACCAATGAAATATACGTTTTTTTAAAATGTGTCATTTGGCTCTTTCATAACATTTCGGTATTGAAAGAGCCACTAAAAGTAATGAAAGGGCCAGCTTTCAACCAAGAGCAAAGGTCCTACGGACCGCTCTGACAGACAATGACGAATAGTAGTAGGGCCAGCTTGTATTATAACTTGAAATTGTGAAAATTATACAAACTAATAAGTAGACACTATTAAAAAACAAATGAAAAGACAATTCTATCAAATTCTTTTTAAAAACTAATGATATTTTATAATAAATATAAACATATTAGAGGCGGATTATTTTTTATCAATAACAGTGTTGAAATTAAATAAAACAACAAATAATATCTTTTATCAAAAACAAGATCGTTAAATCTATCAGAACAGAATATAATGCATATTCTTCAAATTAGAAACATGTCTTGCAAAAGAAATTAAGGTTCCCCTTAATACCACAGCATTCATGAGCCCAACCAGAACAAATTTTGCACTGAAACCAATCTTGATCACTGTCTTTATATGTTTTGCTGCAAACTACACAATCTTCACTATTGTTATTTGTCTTTGGGTTTATTTTGCTTCCAACACCCTTTGTTTTTAATTCAGCCAATACGATAGAGTCAGACGAATCAGAGTCATCTTGCAGAACGGAATTTTCTTTATTTATTTCTGTTTTTGTTTTAAGCGTTTTTATGGAGTCTTTTGTAGTCATTTTCTTAACAGAAACTTTTGGTTTCTTTGCGCTATACTCATTCTCCTCTATTTTTTTCTTTTCGGGAGAGTCGGTTACGATAGCAGATGACATTTTTCTATTATTTCGTTTCGTGTTTTGTCTTGGCCCCGCTTTAGAAAATGGTCTTATCATCTCCGGTGATATAATTCGTTGACTCAGATTTGCAGGTGGAGGTTGAACGGTGAGAGAGTCTGATATTCTGATCTATTAGAAGCTCATTTTCTTCGCCAGCTTCAAGCGATTTTGTAGAAGATGGAGGTGTTGTTCTAAGTTTCTTTCCATACTTTCCTTATACAAGTTCAAACCATCGTTTGACTGCGGATCAAGTCTATCAGTCACATATGAAGATAAAAATGCTTCTTCACTAAATATATTAGAATTTAATGGATAAGTTCCTGTTTTCAAAAATCCTTGTGTTATATTCTGTGGACTGAAAGCTGACAAATATGCTTCTTTTACAAATTGCCCAATTTGATAAATATTAACTGTTTTTCCAGGGTTCGTCAACATCCATTCATTCATGGCAGTGCGGTACCTAGTTTTGAAAGGCCCATATACTGTGATATCTAGTGGTTGCAGTTTATGACTGCAGTGTGGTGGGAATGTAACTATTATGAGTTTTGTCTGGCAAATTCAACCACTCTGAGATTTACATGAGAGATGGGATTATCCATTAATGTCAATGCTGGATTCTCTTTTGATTGCCTGACATGTATTACAAAGTGTTCAAGCGCTTTCACAAAACAGTCTTCAGTCATCCATCCAGAAACTTGAGCCAATCCTAGGGCTCCTGGCGGACCATTATTTAACATAATATCTTTATAGTTTACTCTAGGAAACACAAAAACGGGCGGCAAAAAACCACCAGCAGCATTAATAAAGAAGGCTGAGGTAACTTGCCCAATTTGTTTCGAACCCCTTTCAGCTATGACCTTAGGAGGATTGGTGACGGTGCTGCAGCCTGTTTCATCGGCGTTAAAAATCCTATGAGGAGGAAATTTGTATCTTTGTAAAACAGTGTTTAATTTCTCAAAAAATGTGCTTACATTAGCTTTATTAGAACTTGTTGCACAGGATAGAGAAGTGCTTTCAGGTTTTCTCACAGTTAAGTATTTGTGTCTGCTCATAAACCCTTTGAGCCAATCATCAGTCGCAGTTTCAACTTCTTTCCATTTGGGTGGACATATATCATTGGCTACGGCTTCTTTGCTTGATGTCTTGTTAGGCCATGGCACATTTTAGATGTGGTCTTTAAATAATCTGCAAGCATATTCTCCTGTTCAGTTGTGAAAATACGCCTGTTCCCTATATTAGGACAGTGTTCATATGATGAATCGATTTTAGCTAAGTAAACCCACGATATGTTTAAGGCAAGTGCAGTTCTATTTATGGACTGACCTTTCTCCAAAAACTTCACTGACTGCTTCTTCAATTACCGATTTTTCGTTTCTTTTTCGTTTTTTTTTGAGCCAACCTTCTCCATAATGCAGTATCTGAAGCAAATAATTTAATAATATATAAAAATGCATATTTATTATTATAATAATTTATTACTAAAACTTACATATAGGGTTATAAAAGAGCCGGTTATGAAAGAGCCAGCTCTTTTAAGGCCTATGCACCCGGCTCTTTCATAACTTATTGGTAAAAAATATATAACCTTCAAAATAACAGCAATATAAAACCTTTTGCCGCTTAGTGTTTACGCAGTTGCAAGGCCAATTATATGCACAAACTGAATCTACAATCCACATACTTATATTTGTTTACAATAAAATGCCAGAAAACTACTTAGATAGAGCAAAATACTTACTTTTGGATGCCAAAAATTTTGACTCGATGTACCGCCGCCTGTTATCACTAGCCAACTCTCAAATGTTTGTGGGTGGCGGGAAATCAGTGCTGCCACCTTAAAATAAGATCACCCACCAAATTCGTTCCTAAACAACCGAAATAATGCAAGTGGCTCTTTCAAAACCTGTCTCTTTCATGCCACTTCTTCCCTACAGGTTCGTATGACGTTAGATTTGGAAATAAATTAGTCATAATCGAATTGATGACAGAGTTACGTGACCTTGATCAGATTTTAGTAAATTACTTGACAGCATTTTTTTGTAGCTGCCGAAGTTTGATCGCACTGTATAACCCCTCGGTTTTCCAATGACGTTACCTTTTCACCCGAATACGTTGGAGAAACCCAGTATAACGAGTCTGTTAGATTATCAAACAGATTACAGTTAACTCCCGGCTTAGCACGAGAAAGAACACGTTCCTGAATCCTCATCAAGAAGTTATTTGCAATAAATTTCACGTGAGGAACTTACGAGGACTAAATTACTCACTTCTGTCGGGGCCAAATTTCGAACCAAACTTTGTCTAATTAGCCTTAACCAGGGCTTATTACCGCTTGAAGAATTGCTCAACTTCACGTTTGTAGACTATCGTAGACCAGGTGCTAAAAAATAAAGTTTGTATAGAACAGATAAGGTGCATAATGCTCGATTTTTGTTTTTTCAAACTCTTACTTCAATTGGCTAAGAGGAAGTATTGTAATCTCAAAATCGAGATTAGGTATATGACATGGTCATCATGAAAAAAGCAACTCGTTTCCCTTGGTTTGTTTTCTTTCTGCTTGGGGTTATATTAAAAACTAAATTTATTAGCATACTTTTGAAACTGAGCAGCAGTTATGAGAATGTATAATGGAAGCATTTAGTATATGTATGATTATACCAGAAATGTTACGTTACGTTTTGAATTCGACCATCAGGTATTTATATTTAAAAAATAATTGCAACCTACTTAAGAACCGATGGTGAATAAAATAAAGATAATGCTAAAAATGGATTCGGTATTCTGAATATCGCTAGATTAAACATTATTTTATAAAATGTTAAACCATCTTATGTAAGATGCATCTATCAGCAATCACATCGCATTTGTTTGCAACGCCTACTTAAATAAAATAATAAAATCATTTTTTATAACTGAGAAAACATGTAACATGTGATACATGGTTGAACTCGTAGAATGCTATCAGATACAGGGTGCAAAAAAGAAACGTAAGGCACAAGATTTGAAAACTCCATCATGTACTGCATGAAACGTGCCAATAAACAAGTATACTGAATTTGCTAAAAAGTTGAAATAGGTCTCTTGGAAGGCTTATAATGGGTGCGCCATTTATTACTTTTTTTTTACTTATAAGTCTATGTGTTACCAGGAGAGTCAATAGTCATCTGGTATGCATAAATGAACTGTCAAAGGTATGCCATTTATAGTCATGGATTCGTTTACAACACAACAACGCATTTTGGTTATCCAAACTTATTACAAAAACCGCCGAAATATAAAAAATACTTTTCGCAAACTCCGCACTAGTTTTGGCCGACATGCACGCCCTGCAGAGCCTGGAATTCGTTGGATTGTTAATCGTTTTGAGAAAGCTGGTTCAGCTGAGGGTTGTAGACCATACCAACATGCTCGTCCAGGTCGTACTCGTGAAAACAGTGTGCGAGAAGATCCAACCACCTCGACTAGGCACCGTTCGCAGCAATTGGGAATTAGTGAGACCACTTTACGCCGGATTTTACACATTGATTTACACCTCCATCCATTCAAAATTCAACTATCACAAGAATTGAAGGCGGCAGACCATCAACAACGGCGTGTTTTTGTTAATTGGATGCTGGAAAGAGAAGACGGATTTTCTGCCAAAGTGCTCTTTTCTGATGAGGCTCATTTTCACCTCAATGGGTACGTAAATAAGCAGAACTGCAGATTCTGAGTGGCTGAAAATCCACACCAATATCATGAACAACCTCTCCATTCTCAAAAAGTGACTGTTTGGTACGGATTATGGGCTGGTGGCATCGTTGGACAATTCTTCTTTGAAGATGCCGAAGAAAAGGCCATTATCGTCAACGGGGAACGTTATCGCGGCATGTTAACAGACTTTTTGTGGCAACAATTGGATGGTATTGGTGCCGACGATCTTTGGTTTCATCAAGACGGAGCAACGGCTCACACATCTCGCCAAACAATCGCCTTATTACACACGAAATTTCAAGCCCGCATAATTTCACGAAATTCAGATGTCAGTTGGCCCCGAGATGGTGCGATTTAACACCTCTTGACTATTTTCTTTGGGGATTTTTGAAAGGAAAAGTATATGCGAATGGTCCCCGGACAATTCAAGACCTAACGCGCAATATTCGGATTAAAATTGCGGCCATAAACCAGATTATTCTGGGAAAAGTCATTGAAAATTTTGATGTTCGGATGTTGGCCTGTAAACGAAGCCGCGGTGGTCACATGACTGATGTTATTTTTCATACATAAATAGTATAAACTGACCTTCATTTATCAATAGAGAAATTTGATTTCACCTCGTAAAAAATGTGTTGATTTTTCAAATAGAAAAAAAAAGTAATAGATGACGCACCCGTATTTGTGACTTGAAATGTTATTATATGCATGTACCATTGAGTTATGTGAGAAAAAACACAAATTCGGGGAAAATCAATAATTTCATTGTAAGCAAGGAGACCTTTACACGAAATTGAGCTACCTGGAAGCGGTCAGACTTGGGTATAAGGAATGGAATCTGTTTGGAATGTTGCCTAGGATCCAATTATTGAAAGACTGAATGGATCAAGTTTATATTCGGTTCCACACCACTTTAGAAACTAATTCAGCTGAATTAGGTACTCCAATCAGTTTTACCAAAAGCTCCATTTGTTAAACGCCTACCTTCCCTGTTAATCGGTCGTAGCAGTTTTTCCTTTGCAGTCCTTTTGGATTCACGCAAAAATATTATTTTTCAAGGTACCCACCAACTCCATTATTTAATTTTTCGTACTCAAGGATTTCTAGGCTTGTTCCAACAACAAGTTCTTATCTAATTCCGAACTATTTTTCTGCACGTGTTTGAGATAAGTACAGTTCAGAAATAGTTCCGAACTATTTTTTTAGAACAGACGTACAAACATAATCTTGATTAAAGCAGTATTTACAATTATTAAGTGAACGTGTGCTAGAGGTGATATTTGAGATAAGTTTGTTTTTTTAAGAAATTGGGTAAATCAGATGACGGACTTAATGAGAGATGAGTAGCTTGGTGAAATATTTTGGAGAAACATTACGAAATTTTGACTTTTTCAGAGCTGGAAGAATTAATAATTTTGCCTTTGGTGGGGGAAGAAATTACGTGGAATGTTATCAACATTAAGTTGTTATTTGACGTTAAATGAAAGGAATATATAAGATTAATAGTAATAGTAGTAAGATTTACTTAGCACAAATAGCTACATAAACAATAGAAGCAATACATAACAGTAATAATAAATTCAAACCATATGGTGCATCGTCATTATAGCAATTCTAACATAGAGTTTATCAGTTTTGATTCAATGGGTTTCAAGCTATTTAGTCGTTTTATATTTGAACCTAAAAATCCATTAGGTCTTGATAGAAAACCAATTTAGTTTATTTACTGCGTTTTTTGCGTCTAAATGGAAACCATTACTATTTTTTGTTTTATAAATAAAAATCCTGACTAGGTATTCAAATAAATTTTTAGTGTTAAACCATTTTAACGTACTGAGCATTTGGTTGACTGGTGCATATTTATTTTTTCTTTCAGTATTATTCTCATTAATTGATTTTGTATGACCTGTAATCTTTGAAAAACGTAATCGAAGGACATACACAGGATGACCAGTTGAAAACTTCCTACCACGGATTTATATAAAACTACTGAATAAAAAAAACGCCGACAGCGTCAAGAGATTTGTCAAGGAGGACAACTTTTTAACCTGAAACTACTTCACCCCCATTCACACTCTGCCCACAGGGTCATCCCCATAAAAGTTTTAAAAGTCAAGAGGTATCTAGTAACAGTTTGTTTGAAAGGTCTTTCGAAGTCCTTTATTCTGCCGTTCGACTTTTCAAAATTAGTCGATTTGTTTTCGAGAAAATTGGAAAAATCCTTATTTATCTTAATTTGTTCAGCAATTCGGGAGATTGGACGTGGCAGCAACCAGATTTTTTCCCGCATTCTTTTTATCAACACAGATATCCTGAGCGAACTGTATTTATTGTTATACCAGTTTAGGTATTTGCTGCTAAGAGAAACAAAGAATTTAACTTGCTGTCAGTTAATTTTGTGATAATCTTGGGATAGTGAAAATTAATGTATTGGTTCAGATTTTGCTTCCAAAATAGTTTACACACTAGCCGAAAGAGTGGAAATGATTCTAATTTATGGTGCCCAAAATCAATGTGCTCGGCAAACTGCCATCACGTTAATCGAAGATGATTTTGATATTTGAGTTAAGTTTTGTGAACAAATGACTCCAGCGATTAATGATAATACCATTCATCTAAAGCATAAACGTAGATTTTATCTAAACGGATTTGTTAATAAGCATAACTGCAGGTATTGGAGGTAATGGATAGGGCGAAGAGGGCCTATAGGATGGCCTGCTAGATCTCCCGATTTGACGCCATTAGACTATTTTCAATTTGGCCATTGTGCTTACTCCCCAACCTGAAAATTTGGATGAACTTTGTCAACTACTGAAGAGGGTTAAACTCTCGGAAATACGAGATATATTGCCTAATTTACTATTCACTCTACCGATGACTTTTTAACCATATAGTTCAAAATTCAACCTACTGTCACCTATTCAGCCAAGATATTTGAAAGGATCTACAAAAACAATGTCTTTTCCGCTACATTTACATATAAATTTGTGTATAATTTTTTCCAACAATTATAGCTTTTGTTTTGTTTGTGTTCAATTTTAATTTGTTAGATATTAGGCAGGCAGTCTGATACAAGTTTTGAATCATTATTAACGAGAGAGATACGTTATTGAAAATTATGAGTATTTACATAAATTAGAGTATCACCAGCAAACATTTGGATTTTGCAATTTTTTAGTACACTGGGCAAATCATTTGTATTCAAGATGGTCAGAAGTGATCACAGGATATTACTAATAAAATGATTTAAACAAATCTAAAATTATCAACACTTGACTACGTAATTTTCATTTCTGGTTCTTGGAGCTCCTATAATCAGCTTAAGATCTTTATACACACTTGAATCTGTTACAAAGTAATCTTCATCCATTTTTTTGAGTATGTTTAATCACCGTCGCAATAAGCGGTAAAGATTTGGGTTTGATATATGAGAAGATTGAATAGGCACAAAATTTCAGCCACAAAGTCCAGCTTTCAACTATCAACAGCTCATTGACGCCGGTTGAACCAATTCAGAACTGGTACAGATTTTTTTAATCAATTTCCTGTATTTTACATTCTTGTCTGTTGAAATTACTTTACTATGCATTTTGAGTATTCATAGAGGTTTTATAATTTCACCTTAAACATTTTTAAATTCAAACTCTGTTCAATATAATTATTCAGTTTATTAAATTCAAATACAAATACATTTTAAAATACAGATTTGCTAGTTTTGCTACTATTACAATGTTGCAGTGAAAATCTATACTTCCTTCAGTTTCGTAGTTATGAAATTTAATTTTGTGATGTTTTCTTAATGTGATGGTTATAAATGATTTTCTAATTTGACTATGGAAATGAGAACTAAATAATGTGAAATGTTTTACATTCAACCACTGTAACATAGACTAGCATAATTGTTTTTATTCAAAATAATTCTCATAGCTTTATTTTATAGAATTTGTAATTTTGGAAATATGCTTTCATTTGGTGTACACAAGATGATTGGACAATATAAAAAATGAGGAAGAATTATAGTGCAATACATAATTCTTTTGGAATACACACTGAGATTATGGGAAACTCTATAGAAGTAATTTGTCTTTTGTCACATTTTTGAAATAATGTACATATTTGTAATGCTCTTGAGACAGTAGTTTACTATACACATATTTGGATGATTCACCTACTTCAATTTAGTCATCATTAATCATGAGCCTAATTGCTATGAAACCATTTTTTGTTGGAACGATAATTTCGATCTACACATCCTGTGTTCAGTTCAGTATTAGTTCAACGGTTTGCGCTTATGTTATTCAATAAAGTTTATCCAAGGTATGGAAGAATCTCATTTTGCTTAAAGCTAAAAACTGCCAGAACCTTCCAGTACTCTATTTATTAAATTACAAGCGTCCAAGTGGAAGCACCCTAATGAGAAACCCACTTCTTGCACCACTCTGTTTGTCGCTACTTCGCGCAAAAAGCTAATGTTGAGGTATACACATCCTTTACGAAAGCATTTGCCTTCAACTTATTCCTAAACGGCATCCACAGGTCTGAGACGGCGAGAACAGAGAACTGCGTGTTCCGGAAACCTTTCCATTTTCTTTTGGAACGGTAATTTCGATCTGCGCATACTCTGTCAAGTTCCGAACTTGTTCGGTGATCTGTTAGAGCAAAGCTTTTGTCTATTTTCCAGGATCCATGACCAGTCAACACATTGAGGATCACCCAAAGGATGAAGGGACCGATACGGAAGATGCTACCCTTCCTCCTACCTACCTAGTACTACAAGTCACCTCAAAAATCCACGAACAGACGCTACGATGGCTCATAGACAAGTTGAAGGGTAGAAAAAGAGATGGTGGTGGTGAACTGATTGTTATGAAACAACCGGTAAATACAGCTGATGTAAGTTTGACATTTCCTTAGAACACATCTAACCATCTACCAGCTTCCGTCACTACAGCAATACGAGGAAAACAAACAAGTTTCTGCGTAACAGGGACTACCAAATACAGTCATCCAAACAAATTGTTGGCGCCTAAATGCATGTTCCCGACTGTCGGAACTTATCGTTACAAAGAACTTGAGATATAGTTCTTTTCGCGGTTCTTAGCAGTTCTGTCACAATGCCATACGAAATATATGAACAAACTAACTACTGGTACCAAGTACGTAGCTTAACTTCCCTAAGCGAAAACTATACACTTTGTAGGCTGATACATATAACGCAGCTGCTACTCGCTCTTCCACGCACTCATTAATTGGACGATAGTGTCTTCATTCGATTTCTTAAAATATTTTCTTCTGGAATTGTAGTTATAACAAAGATTGATTGAATGACTGATCGATTGGGTAAAAGTTTGACTACTTGATTGCGTGATTGCTTGATTGCTTGATTACTTGATTGTTTGACAGCTTGATAGCTCGGTAGCTTGATTGCTTGATTGCCTGATTGCTTGATCGCTTGACCGCTTGATCGCTTGACCGCCTGATCGCTTAGTCATTTGATTGCGTGATTGCTTGATTGCTTGATTACTTGATAACTTGATTGTTTGACAGCTTGATAGCTCGGTAGCTTGACTGCTTGATTGCTTGATTGTCTGATTCCTTGATTGCTTGATCGCTTGACCGCTTGATCGCTTAATCATTTGATTGCTTGATTCTCGATTGCTCGACTTCTTGATTACGTGATTGCTTGATTGCTCGATTGCTCGACTGCTTGCTTGCGTGATTGCTTGATTGCTTAATTGCTTGATTGCTTGATTCCTTGATTGCTAAAATGGCTTGATTGCTTGATGTCCTTATTGCTTGATTGCTTGATTGCTTGATTGATTGACTGACTGATTGTTTCATTGAACGATTGATGGGTCGATTGATCCATTGATTGATTGGATGGTTGAATAATCGATTGATTACTTGATTGGGTAATTGGAGGACTCATGGGTTGACGAGAAGACATTCAAGGCGGCGAGACAACAAAGTGTATGTCTGTGAGCTTACACAAACATCCACATATAGAGGCGGATTCCATGTGTATGTGTGAGGGAGATGGATGTATACTAAGTGACATATAAATCCGAACACCCAGTTTAAATGGTTTTATTTTAATAAAAGTTGGTGAATGTATTTATCTTACTGTAAATAACAAGTGAAAAAATTTTCAGCCTTATCAGTTGGACATTCCGATTTTTATACTGCTTTTTTTTAATCCACTAACGCTCTAAAAATGAATATTTCAGCCGCAGTAAAGAATCAACGTTGGCGGATTTTGGTTCTTGGCATCCTTTACGATCGGTTACGATGCCTAGAGTACGGAAACCTGTACGATTTCGTCAACTTAGTGAGTTTGATAGGGGCCGTATAGTGGGACTTCGGGAAGCTGGACTTTCTTTTCGGGCAATTGCAGTTAGAGTGCAAAGAAGTGTAGACACTGTGGTTAGGTGTTGTCAGGTATGGCTTCGAGAAGGCCGTACGCAAAGAGCAAGGGGCACTGGACGCCGCCGTAGAACAACAGACCGTGAAGATCGCCGCCTAAGATTATTGGCCTTAAGGGACCGTTTCTCCACTACCAGGTCCATTGCAAATGAATGGTTTGCAGAACACGGAAGACCTATTGGCATGCGAAGTGTATGCCGACGAATGAGAAGTTTTGGCTTGTTTTCTTACCGGCCACACTGGGTCCTCCCTTTAACTCGAGAACACCGACGTAATCGCCTTGAGTGGTGCAGACAACGGTCACTCTGGGATCAGGAATGGAACAGTATTGTCTTTAGTGACGAGTCTCGATTTTGTTTAGGCATGCACGATGGTCGTGCCAGGGTTAGAAGGTGACGTGGTGAAAGGAGGAATCCACAGTTTTTTGTTGAAAGACATGTTCATCACACTGTTGGAGTTATGGTTTGGGGTGCTATAGCTTATGGTTCCAGGTCACCTTTAATCTTCATCAGAGGTAACATGAACGCGCAGCGTTATATCCACGAAGTTCTAGAACCCCATCTTTTACCCTATCTTGACACCCTGGCAGATCCAACTTTCCAAAAAGATAATGCCCGACCACATGTTGCAAGAGTCACAATAGACTTCTTTCAACATAATGATATCACATTGTTACCATGGCCACCAAGATCTCCCGACTTATCCCCAATTGAGCATGTGTGGGATATGATGGGTAGGAGATTGCTCAATTTGCAACGTCCTCCTCAGACTCTAGAAGCACTTCGAGAGGAGTTGGTGGTTGCCTGGAATGAGATACCACAGGAGGACATTGACCACCTGATCAGAAGCATGCCTAGGCGCGTTGGAGAATGCGTAGCACATCATGGTGCATCCACACATTATTAAAGGTCAAAGGGCTTTAAAGCAGTGCAATCATTTTGAAATTTTTATCATTTACTTATTATGCTTCATTAAGTACTTATACAAAATTTAATTCAAATAAAACCATTTAAACTGGATGTTCGGATTTATATGTCACTTAGTATATGAATGTAATGCCAGTAGTTTTACTAGGACCCAACAAAAGCCATGAAAAGATCTACAGATAATTATGATTTGAAAACTGTTGCTTACTATTTTTTTGCAGAATTTTATTCTTCACATCTCAGCCTCCAAGTTAAAGCTGCTAGAGGTAGCAGAAGAGGTGGAACTAGTGAAATCAGATAGGTTTGGAAAACGTAGGGAATTTACTGTATCTCAGCTAGAAGATTTTGTGTTTGATGGAATGCAAGTTGATGATCTACTGACTGACTCAGAAAAGCAGACTATTGTTAGGTAAAACTAATTATTTCTATCGAACAGAGAAGTACCTACGTTGAAGTATGACAGTCAACATTTCTAATATGATGCTGGAAGATACTTGTTAATCAGCTAGAACAAAAACATCAATACGATCCTGGAAAATGTATTCGCCTTTTGAAGTTAGAGTGACATTATGAATTACCAAATTAATAATTTTGTGAGGCTATGTGTTATTTTCTATCACTAGGCACGAATTGGAGAACATCAGAGCTTTGTCAGAAGACAGTAGCTTGCCAGGGTACCCGACACACAAGTTCTATGAAGGACAGTCCATATTTCAAGCATGTCAGCATTGGGGAATAGTTACCAAGGTTTATCCGTTACACGATCATGAAACCTTGAAGAAATTGGGAAGAAAATGGTATATGTCTTTATTTGCTCAGCAACCACTAGGTGAGTGCCGTTTGAAATTGATAATATTAAAATTATATTATGTTAAAAAAGCTTATGGAAAAGGGGATTCGATATTGAAAAATATACAGGATATTTCTCATTTATTTTGCGTTTTTGACGACCTGTATGGGGCATTTAAAAAATCCGGAAATTATAAATTAGGATAACATTAAGTGTCATAAAACTTTTTGACACAAGAGTCACTACTCTTTCACGCTGGTGCGCAGACAGTAAATCGAATATTTCTTGTGTGAATTTAACTCCTAGGTATGAGTTTATCGTTTAAAAATAGAGAAATGGCTGTGAGTAAAAGCTTATGGGTATAAGTGGCTGAGTGTAACTCATATATGTAGTGCTTTTACTCTAAGCCTTTTCATGTCTCTAAAATAAGTGCTGATAGGATCATACTTTCTTAAATTGTTGATCAATCTACAACAGGAATGAATTTTTTGAAGATGCATGAGAGAAGCGGAGACTAAAAATGGAACACAACCTATATTACTCGTACAATAAGTAATTTTAGACATGATTAAAGATTCGCACAATTTTTGTTATGGTCAAGAAATTGTTTATTGAGGTAAAGTTGGCAAATGTACGAGAAAATGTTTGTGGTGTGAAATATGTACTCCCGTCAACAAAATGAGATATACATTACCCCAACCCCCGATTTTCAACCCATACAATTTTTTTTTCTAAAAAGGATCAGGAGCATCTGACACGCCAAAAAAACGAAATTTCGGCGATTTTTATTTTTTGCCACCAGCTCCGCCGCCACTGGACCGATTTTCAAAAACTACAAAAAAAAATTCATCCAAATCCGAGCAGTACTTTCCAAGTTATATGCGGTCCAAGGATTAGTGGTCAGACCGACAGATAGATCGGTGATGAGTGACATGGTTTTCCGTGATGTATATGTCATATGATATCCAAAAAATATAATATCTAAATTTGTTCAAGATCGCGAGAATAATATAATAGATTCCCTATATAAACAGGGTTTCCAAATGCCGGATACCCTTATCTATCAATTTTCATTACATCGTCATATAGCGGCAACCACGTACCATAGATTTATCAGAACATCAATAATCCGATTGTGTCCTATCTATGCTAACATAATAACATAACGAAGGTTTATTCGATCCATCTATATTATCCCACTGCCAATTTGCACATTATCGGTGTAAAATAGTGGTTAATGCTGTATCAAATAGCATAGGGACCGTTACTGAAACTGCTCTTAACCTGTAATAGAAGATATTTTTGTAAAGATACATGTCTTTAGAAGTTATGATGAAAAATATGACGTTTATTGCAATCCCTTCATTCTAGAAAAAATCGACAATATTCATTATATCGATTATTTTTTTGATCCCGAGAGTCAATAGTAAAATCAGGCTTAATTCTCGCAATAATAACTGTGCTCAGAGGCATGTGGCCATGGCCCACTCCCATAGATCCCTGGGATTTTTCCCACGCTGTGATAACGTAATGGTTTATTCGTACAGTAGTTGGTAACTTGTCGGTGACTGTCAACGTCAGAAACAGAGAGATGTTACCTGTTTGTACAGTTTCTGATTGTTCGCCGACAGCTAATCCAGTGTTCGTACAGAACCTTCTGACAGGTCAGAGGACACCGGTCAACCAGTGACAGTAGCAGGTATCAGAGTGTGTCGAGACTATCTTCGCAAGAGGCACTTAATTATCGATTACTTTTCTCTAACGGACAGGCTGGGGACACTTTCGCACCGGTGGGCCGTCGGCGATCTAGCTCTCTTCTACTGCTAAGATTTGCTCCTCAGAGTTCTCCTCGATGATGCCGCCGCGCGATGTGGCTGCCAGATAGACCCGCCCGACTGATAGTATTTATTATAATACTCAAGTTTCTTCTTATTTGTTAACCTAGTTGGCGGAGAGAAAGTCCGTCATTCTCATGATTTCCTTCATCTTCATCTGGGTCTTCTTCAACCAACTTAAAGTCAGGATCGCCCAAGCTTTTCGCAACATTACGGAGTACAATACAAGCAATAATTTTCCAACTTTACGCGGCAAACATGCACTAGGATAGGGAACCAGTGTTTCAGTTGGCCGAAATAGCATTCATTTATAACTCGTTCTTGTTTTAAAAGCTTATTATAATGTATTTCTGCACCTGGAGTAGGATTTCTGAAGGGAGTCGTAAGACATGCCTTAATACCGTAACCACCATCGCCAAGTAGTACAACATTTGCTTTATTTGTTAGTTGTGATCTAGTCTGTGCATTTCTCCATATTCTGGAATCATGCACTGATCCAGGCCTACCGACATCAACACTTGTGAACATCTCTCTGGATCACAAGTGGCTTGCACATTTAGAGTAGGTTTCCCTTTTCGGTTGATATACTCATCTCCATGGCGCTTTGGTTTCAGGATTCCTAAATGTGTACAATCAATTACACCAATTGCTGTCGGAAATTTATACATGCTTTGCCATATCCACTTGGCCTCCATCAGTTCATGGTTGGTATTTGGAAACTAGACCCATTCATTCGACTGTGCAACTACGTTGTTCACAACTCTATCCACAGTCCGAGATACCGTTGCTTGACTAACACCAAGTTCCTGACCAATACTTTGTTGATATCCAGGGTCACCGAGATAGCGTTGACATATTTTCATTTTATGAATACATGAAAGTGCTACTCCTCGAGTTTCCTCATTCTCAACTAAAAGTCTGTCCGCAAAGCCATTGTATATTTGCTTCGTCGAACCGATATAATTTTTTAAAGTCACGACCAAGTGAAGGTATACGAGGTTTGTACGTTTCAACATCCTTAACATCCACAATTTCCGCCATCATCGTTCGTTACGAAGTTGAGTCTGCTACTGACCGCACTCAGAATTTTTGAAGGATATACTTCCTATGCCAAGTATAAGGTGAAGATTATGAATATCATTTTACTTATGTCACTGCTTTGAAGGATATGCTTGTACTCAAAAAGCAAAAACATTTACTTCAAATTACACTGGACAACAAATTTTAGTTTTTTTTTATTGTATCTTGTGGGGCGCTGAATCCAAAAATGACAATGAAATAAAAAAATTAGGTGCGGTTTAGAAAACAAACTTTTTATGTTTAAGGATATATTAAAAAAAGTAACAAGATTCATATACTTATAAGAATCACTATATGCACTGTCTTTTTGCTGTTCTTTTATGGATCGTTTCTGGAGCATCTCTACCAAGAGTGCAACAGTAGTCTGCAAGCATGCAGGGATTCCACTTTCCCTGGTACCTTTTTTCCATTGTTGAAATATCCTGATGAAAACGTTCGCCGTGCTCATCACTTACGGCTCCGCAATTGTCAGGAAAAAAGTCCAGGTGTGAGTGTAGAAAATGTATCTTAAGAGACATCTTTTGATACGATGACAGCATATTTTTGACACGGGTTTTATAGTTGTCAGCTTTTCTATTTCCCAAGAAATTAGTGACCACCAGACGGAAATCATTCCAAGCAGTTTTTTCAATACCTGTTAAAGTGTTTTCAAACTGTGAATCTTTCAAAATATTTCGAATCTGTGGCCCAACAAAAATACCTTCTTTAACCTTTGCCTCACGTAGTCTTGGAAATTTCTGACGCAGGTATTGAAAAGCTGACCCATCTCTATCTAATGCCTTGACAAAGTTTTTCATTAGGCCCAACTTGATATGCAGTGGTGGTAATAAATTTTTTTTCGAATCTACTAATGACATATGCTGTACATTTTTTTGACCTGGCTCTAGGAATTGACGAACAGGCCAGTTTTGTCTGGTGTAATGAAGTGCCTTTGCTCGACTGTCTCATTTACACAAAAAACAGCAAAACTTTGTGTAGCCTAGCTGCAGCCCAAGTAAAAGTGCAACAACTTTCAAATCACCACAAATATGCCATTGGTGCTCATCGTATTTTATGCATGTCAATAGGTACTTCATATTGTCATCTGATTCTTTCATGTGAACTGCATACCCTACAGGAAGAGATGGTAAAATATTTCCAATATGCAATAACACTGCCTTTAAACTCAATGTTGAACTGTCTATAAACAATCTCCATTCTTCTGGGTTATAGTTTATATTTAAAGCCGCCAGTAAGCCGTTAATGTTACTGCAGAAAACCAAGTTATTCTCCATATTGAAAAATGGTTCTAAGTCTTTGTGGCGTTTACGAAAAACACATACCGAAACATCGTCTTCTAACTAGTTCCACTGCGGCAGTCTTGATCCAAGTAACTCTGCCTTACATTTTGGAAGTTCTAAATCTCTTACAAGATCATTTAATTCTGACTGTGTTATTTTGTGCGGTTGGTGGCATGACGTGCTCGGTATAAAATCAGGATCTCTTGACGTTGATGGCATATCTTCTTCCTGACGAATCACTCGATCGCCATGATCTGATTTGTTTTCTGATTCGCAAGTGTAGGATTCTGGGGGTTTTGGAATAGGATTTTCATCACTGTGAGGCACAGGTCTCATCGCAGATGGTATGTTTGGGTAGTTAATAACCGATTTTTTTTCTTGGACATACCTGTGGCTTGTCCAACACAAGGTACCATGCAAAAGTAACAATCATTAATATGATTTGTAGGCTCTCTCCAAACGATTAGGACAGCAAAGCGCATAGACCGTTTTTTGCCATTTAACCAGCTCCTCAGACTTGAAGCACATGTATTACAGCAGTTGTGGAGTGCTCTCTGTTTGTCTTGATCACCTAGTTTACAACCGAAATAAAGCTGATATGCCTTTGTTATTAGTGGAGTAATAGGCAGTCTCTGAGATGCAAAAGTCACATCACCACACACGTAACAAAACTGATCTGGATTGTTTTCACTGTCAGCCAACTGAGGAAAAAATGGCTAATATAAAACAATATAATGTACACGTATGTATAACGTAACACAATCATGCCGATTACATCATCTTTCCTTGCCGAATATAAAAATGTAGCACGTGCATTCTTCTGAATTACAGTATATTAACACTGTCACAGCAGGAACGCATATAATTACCGTATCTCTAAAACTTGAACTAATATTGAAAAAATAAGTTTCATTCCGGTTTTAGCACATTAAAAATAGTAATATTGTGTTGATTTTATTTAGGATATTTTTTGGCTGTTGGTCAGTGTTATTATAAATACCATCTGGCCGATTTCCTTCAAAATTTGCAAGTACAAGGATATCCTTTGTTTTATGAATACGGCTCAATAAATACGTTGAGAACGGATACGTGAGCAATGAAGAATGATCAAGTTCGCATCGAGACTAGTGGTGAGAAATAGCAGTCGGTAAACAAAAAAGTGTGGGACTTTTTCTAGCATCTGTTCCGGCATCATAGGCACATAATAGTATTGCGATAGGAGCTATTCTGTAAAACTATTTTTGGCCGGATTTTTAATTCAAATACCCGTATGTGCGTCTGCGTATCTGTCGCTGCTTCGAACTGAAGCGTACGCGTCGACAGATCGGGATATACAGTAATGGACAAAAATATATAGACAAATATGGATATTTACCTAAAACGAATTCATACTTCATTGCTCCATAAACAAATGCGTTATTAGTAGAAAAACTAATTCCTTGTTCTTACATTATGTGCAATGAACACAATACAAGTCTGAATATAAGCACTTCTTTATGAGGGACCAAAATATGTAGACAAATTCTTTTCAACATTAGTTTAGTACAGTTTCGTGTCAGAAGAGGATTAGTTTGTAATCATCATGTATTGTGGAATAAGTTGAGTGTAATATAAGGGAAGATAGGGGTAGTTGAAATAGTAGGTCTTACTTTATGACCAGCTAAAAAGTAATCATATTTTCTGACCCAAAAAATGAGACACTTGCATTCCACAATTGTTTATGCCTACCACCGTTTATAAAAGTATACATAACAATATAGTTATATTCCTAAACAATCTCACTAACCTACTTACACAATTTGCTAATTCTAAATACATTATAATATACAGTATGATTATATATTAATACTCCAATTATACATACACGCATATACTACAAAAATTGGTGTACCCATTTTATGCGTCCATGACTTAAATACCCCGTTGAACAACTTGTAGACCGATTGCATATTTATGTGTGACAGAGATGGATACGTGAAAGTATAATTTCTGTAGTTCCACTGTGACTCTCCAGAAACCGTGGAAAAATCTATAGAAATGTTTTGCCTCTATTTTTTGTTAGCGGTTCTGTTAAAGAAAATTGTGATTGATGACCCCCTTGTAGATTTCTTTGTTCTTGTAGTATTTTGGTCAGCTGGTTTTTAATGATTCTCATATTTTCTTTAATGTTTTGGTTTATTTTATACTAAACCATATTCGGAAGTATTAAACTTCCGAAGAAGGTCTGCAAAAGTAGACTGTACAATTCATGCTTGCGTGATGGTGATTCTATTTTTAAATTATTAAATCATGATGTTGTTGTCTTGAAATTTAATTCCAAATAAGTTTTAATGCACCTGCTTTTATGTCGCGTATCTACAGTAATGGACAAAAGTATATAGACAAATATGAATAGTTACCTAAATACCCTTAGAAAACGAATTCGTACTTTATTGCTCCATAAACAAATGCGTTAGTAGAAAAACTAAATTCCTTGTTTTTACATTATCTGCAATGAGCGCAATACATGTCTGAATATAAGCACTTTTTTATGAGGGACAAAAATATGTAGATAAATTATTTTCAACATTCGTTTAGTACAGTTTCGTGTCAGAAGAGGATTAGTTTGTGTCCATCAAGTATTGTGGAATAAGTTGAGTGATTTTAATGCCGCGTGGTGCAGAAATTTCTTTCGATGTGAAAACTAAGATCATTGAGTTATACAAAGATGGTCAACGTCAAGTCGACATTGCCAAAAATTTGCAGCTGAAGCGTAAAGCAGTTTGGGCAGTATTGAACAAATATAAACAAAAAGGTATCTTGGAAGCCTCTAAGAGAAGTGGTCAGCCTAGAAAACTAAATGCTAGATCAGTTAGATGAATAAAAGTAATTTCGTCCAAAGATCCGTTTAAAACCCCATGACAAATAAAACCCGAAATCGAGACAAAAGGAATTGCCAGTATTTCTACGAAAACTATAAGTAGATGATGAAATAATTTAAAGTTATTTGCACGTCGCCCGAGTAAGAAGCCGCTGATCAAGAGGAAAAACCGTAAGGACCGATTACAATTTGCACGGTTGCATCTTGATTGGAGCATCTGTGACTGGAAGAGCGTATGTTTCAGTGACAAATCCAAGTTCAATATGTTTGGATCAGATGGTGTTCATTACGTTAGACGTCCTAGTGGACAAAGATTGAACCCCAAGTACACTTTGCCCACTGTCAAACATGGAGGCGGGTCTGTTATGGTTTGGGGGTGCTTGTCGGGGTTTGGGATGGGACCTTTAGATAGAATATATGGCATTATGGATGTTTGTATACGCAGACATACTAAAGCATGTCATGTTACCCTATATGGAAGACAATATGCCCTTAAGATCAATCTTCCAGCAAGATAATAACTCGAAGCAGAGAAATTCGTTCTGGATTAAAAAATACCAGTTCTCGAATGGCCTTCACAGTCTCCCGATATAAACCCCATTGAAAATCTATGGGAATACTTAGATAAGCAAATACGAGATATAAATTATTCAAACAAGGATGAACTTTTTGCCGCTGTAGAGCAAAGGTGGAGACAGATTGATGAATCTTATATTAAGAAACATCTACAATCTATGCCGAGACGATACCAGGCGGTGATTGATAATAATGGTTATGCTACAAAATATTAACACAAACATAGTTGGTTTTCTATAATTCAATAAACTTTGCTTCTTTTTTCTATAATTGTTTTGATTTGTCTATAAATTTTTGTCCTTCATAGTTCCAGTTTTTTTCAATTAATTTTTTATTGAAGGGAGTCTAATGAATTTATTTATGTATAAGTGAGTATTATGCTATAACGAATTACGTATACAGGTTGGTGTATTAATAAAACAAGTTAAAAAAGAAATGCAGCACAATATTAATTTGTCTATATACTTTTGTCCATTACTGTATTTGTACTCTCTGACAAATATCAGCCAGAGTGATCCTATTGACACTATAGGGTAGAGTGGGGTTAACTGAACAGGTAGGTGAACTGAACACATCGATGTTCCTGCCATCTAGTAATGATAAATTAAACTTGATTTTGCCTGAAAGCGTCTTTTGTTACGTGTGTTGACACTGTTCGGTGCAGATTTCTTTTAAGTCGGTGCTAATCTCGTAAATCAGCAAACATATTTTTAATGGCCGCCACGTAAAATTTGTGCTCCCAAGTTTTTTTGTGTTACAGTTAGCAAAATAGAGTTTTAAAATTGGTTTGACGTATATTTTGTTCCAGTAAGTATTTTAGCATTTATTTCTTGTGTTTACCTAAGCTTAACATTATTTTTTAATCAAATTTGTCTTTTGCTTATGTATTGGTGCACAGTGGGTATAACTGGACATCTCATGTATGTGGTTCTATGAACAGGTGTTCAGTTAACCTGCGTTATTTATTTATTATTATTTTGTCTACAAATTTAGTTTATTTTTTAGAATATGCCAAGAAAAAGACTACGTACTACCAATAACAGATCATATAGTGTAGCAGATCTTAGACAAGCATGTGAAGAAGTCCTGACACATGGTCGAACAACTCGAAGTGTTGCACTTCAGTTTAAAATCCCAAGAATTACTTTAAAAAGGTATGTCGATAAATGTCGGGAAAAAAACAACTTGGATATAAATTTTCGCCACAACAACGAACATCTTTTGGCTTTTAGTCCCGATGAAGAATTACTTCTTAAAAAATACTCAGAGCATGCATCTAACATTCATTATGGCTTGTCTTCTAAACAAGCTCGTATTCTAGCTTACGAGTTTGCGGTGGCCAATGGCAAAGTCATAAAAGAAAGTTGGTCCCGAGAAGCAATGGTAGGCAAAGAGTGGATGTTTAGATTTATGAACAGGCACAACTTTTCGTTGAGGACGCCAGAACAAACAAGCTTAAGTAGGGCAACCAGTTTTAATAAGACAAATGTGGAGGCATTTTTTAAAAATTTTAGAGAGATTAAAGAGAGATATAATTTGCAATCTAATGATATATACAATCTAGATGAATCCGGTGTAACCACGGTCCATAAACCTCCTAAGGTTCTTGCAATTAAAGGAAAAAGAAATGTAGGCCAGATGACGTCGGCTGAAAGAGGGACGCTCGTAACTGTTGTAGGAATTATTGGAGCTACAGGACGATATGTTCCTCCTTTTTTAATATTTCCCCGGGTTCACTTTAAAGAAAATATGCTCCATGGAACTCCAGCTGGCTCTAAGGGTGGAGCTTCGCCTTCTGGATGGATGAACAGTCAGTTGTTTCTTCCTGTGTTGCAGCATTTCGTACAAAACGAGAGACCATCTAAAGAACATCCCAAACGAATAATCCTTGATAATCATGAGAGTCACTTAGGTATTGCAGTACTAAATTTTGCTAAGCAAAACGCTATACTTGTTTTGACATTGCCACCCCATTGCAGCCACAAGCTGCAACCATTATGGATTTAGCAGTATTTGGGCCATGTAAAAAATATTATGGTGCAATTTGTGACAGATGGATGGTAAATCATGCCGGAAAACCTATCACTATTAATGACATCGGAAGTCTGGTTGGAGAGGCTTTTTTGCAAGCGTTTACTCCAAAAAATATATGCAGTGGATTTCGTGCAGCAGGAATAGAGCCGTTTAATGACCAAATATTTTCGGATGAAGAATTTCTTTCGTCATATGTTACAGATAGACCAGGGAAAACATCAGAGGAAGAGGCACCACAAGCTGGGTCGTCACTGCCTAAACCGATTCAACATGGCATGACAGATCCTGTTCTGTCACAATTTCAGCTCTCAAAATATCAAGCCGGACCATCACAAGCTGAATCGTCGAGCACTGCTAAACTACAAACTGAAAAATCACAAACCAAACCGACTTTATCTTCAATTGAGATAAAAAAGCCGACATTACAAATTATAACTCCTGAACAGTTCCGTCCTTACCCCAAAGCTGGTGAACGAAAGTCTACAATTCGACGAAAGAAAGGAAAATCCCTGATTTTGACAGACACTCCTGTCAAAGAGAACATAGAGGAAGAAGCAAGACTTCGAGAAGAAAAAGCACACAAAAAAAACAAAACAACTAACAAGAAAAAAGAAGTGAAAAGACGTATTCTAGAAGACAGCTCTTCTGATGATGAAAGTGTTATCTATGAAGAAAGCTCGGATTCTTTAGAAGAATTTGATGCATATGACGATAGTCCACAAGCTGTGACAAAAGGCGATTTTGTAATCGTGAAAGTGTATGGGCAAAATAAATTAAATTTCAGACATTATGTTGGTGAAATTATTCATGCTGTAAATGATGGTATTGAGGTTACTTTTTTAAAACGCCACAAAGAAACAAAATATTTTTTTAAAAATAATGAAAATGGCTTTGTTGTAAAAGCTGATATTGTTTGTAAGTTACCCATGCCAGCCAAAAGTAACAGCGCTAGATATGCCAACATGGTGTCATTTCAAGTTGATTTAAATGAATTTGACTTTACAGTTTATTAAAATTACCTACAATATTTTCATACATGTTCAGTATGTTTGACTTTACAGTTTATTAAAAGTATCTATAATATTTTAATGTATCTTCAGTATGTTTCTTATTATAAATAAAAATGATTGTTAAAAAGTGTTGACATATTTTCTTTGATATATTTTTTACATTTTTATTATAGCTAGTCGCCTTATTCGCTAGAGGGCTAGACTTGTATTTAGGGTATTAGGTTGGTAATAGTAAATGATGGAAAGCTTGCCAGCCTTCTTATGGTTTAATGCCCTGAATTTTCCATGCATGGCCATTTTTGCTGTTTAACAATTTATGACAAATTTATTGTATATTTCTGTCAATTAAATAACAAAAGTGGTGGCGCATGAAGATTCCAGGGCACTAAATCATAAGAAGCTGACAAAATTTCCATGTAGAAAGTGTTAAGTAAAAGTAAATTTAAAAAATATATCTTGTTTGTACCTCTGTTCAGTCAACCTGCATAAGTGGTCCAGTTAACCTGACAGGCAGGTTAACTGGACAATTTGTCATACACATAAATTTAAATTTAACTTTAAACATTACGTTTTCCAATTACTTACATAACTTCCAAAGCACGGTCATAAAGGTATTTTTTTAGCAACGACTTTCTGGTCAAAAACAATGTTTAAATTTTGATTGGTCCAGAACACGTAAAGTGCCAAAATGTTCATTGAAAACCCATTTCAATTGGCCAGTTGTTATTTTGTTGTTAATTTTATCAATCTGACCTTATCTTTAGTTAGTAAACCTTAAATTTGGGTGCAAAAATGTAATTTTGTTCATGAATTTTATTTTCAAAATGCGAGTCCACATTGGTCTCGCGCGGCAATATAAGTTGAAAACTAAGTTTGTTGCCGAGCGAGACCAATGCGGTGCTGCTACTTTCTGTATCGAGTGAAATAAGTATCGATTGTTAGGAACATCTCTATTTTCTGTATCGAGTGAAATACGTATCGATACTTGGAAACATCTCCAGGATCACGCCACTGGCTCAGCCAATCACCGATGGCGATACAGGTGTCGCGACGATTTAGCTTATTCGGCGCGAAAATTTATTCAGCCGGTAGTTTATCTATGTTGTCTTGACGTTGACTATCTACGTGCGAGTGTATTTTTGCAATTGCCTTTTGATAATGTCATACGAAAAAGAGCAAGAAAGGTTGATGCGATTGTGGCAAGAACCTATGTCTAACGAGGAAAATAATCCAGTGTCCGATGACAGTTCAGATGACTATGTACCAGCTTCGTGTGACGAAGACGACTCCGATTATGAGCAAACTGTAGGCTCGAAGAGAAATTACTCGCTATTCCCAGCACTAGTACTGTCGTTGCTCCAACTGAATCCCCCTATTCAATGGATCAAACAATAGACGAAGTAATTAAAAAATTTGCTCATGAAGATATGGCCGAGGATTCACGCAATGCACATCTTGAAATAACTTGGAGTCCAGCGACAGGGAATAATCTGAAAAAAATTGGATTTACACTAACACAACATGGATTTCTTCCTGAGATTTACGAGAATTACTTTGACAAAGATCCTTATGCATTTTACTGCTTGTTTCTAAATGATGAAATAATAGAGCTGATGGTAAGTTTATTTTGTTACATAATTTGCACAGATTGTTCAAAACATTTTCGGTTGCAGGTTGTAGAAACTACCCGATGTGCGAAGCAATGCCTAGAAAAAAATATTTTCCCGAAGTCTCGTGTGGCATGATACTTCTCCAGTAGTAGTTCCATTCAAGGGACGTTTGAAATTCAAGCAGTACATAAGTAACAAGAGGCATAAATTTGGGATTAAACTGTTTAAACGCATTTATTGTGGAAAGGAGTTTGATGGTGGAGAATATGTGCCAACAAAAGTAGTTATGACGTTAGATAATTTATTAGACTGTGGCAGAACTCTTTGTACTGATAACTATTTTATACATCAGTCTCTTTGGCTCATAATTTGTTAGACAGAGAAACGCACCCTATAGGTACTTTGCGATCTAATAGAAAATCAAATCCTAAAAAGACAATAGATAAGAAACTTAATAAGGGTGAAATCGCTGCTGAAGAAAGTAATACAGGCATAACAGTGCTAAAATGGAAAGACAAACGGGACGTCCTCATCCTAAGCACAAAACATTCTAACCAAATTACTACTTTGAATAAGCGAGATAAGGTTACTCAAAAACCAACATGCCTGATTGATTACAATAGATACAAATCGTACATAGACATATCCGATCAAAATAAAAGCTACAATGGTTCTCTACGAAAAAGCATAAAATGGTATAGGAAATTAGCCGTTGAGCTCCTTACCGGAACTGCACTTGTCAATGCCTTTATTGCCCACCAAAAAATTGCTAATGAAAAAATGAGTATCACAGGTTTTCGAATTAGCGTTATCGCAGGATTGCTCAATATAGCACCCGAAAACGTTGAAATAGAAAAAATGCAGAACAGTGAACATAAATCGGAAAAAATGGGAAGATCTGGGAGACGCCGCTGCAATGTATGTTTTCACAAGATATACCAGACTTCCGGAAGAAAAGAAGCAAATAATAAGACGCCACAAACAGATCTGAAGTGTATAGGTTGTGACAAACATGTTTGCTTAGAGTGTTTTTTTGAAGTTCCCACTGTCACTAAATAATGTTTCCTACTTCTTGTTTTACTATTTTTTAGTTAGAATGTAACTTTGAGTTCGAATAAAAAGCGTAAATATTAAATTTTTTATTACTAAGAATGTATGAATTTAAGTGCCAAGCGGGGCCACATTGGTGCTGCTAATACATAGGCCAAAAGCTTTATCAAGATTCAAAGGCCACCTACTTTACGCTCCCATATCAAAAGCATTGATCGGCAGCACCAACGAGTCACCGCAAGGCGAAACCCGATGTTAAACCTTGCGAGATACATGTGGACTCGCGCGGCGAAATTGTGAGAGCACTAGCGAGACCACGTTGGACTCGCATGGCACTTTACGTGTTAACCCCACTCTACCCTACTGTGGTACTACTACTGTAGCTGATCAAAAATTGTATTGCAACTTCTGATTCGTCGTATGACTTTGCGTTCGACAGCAACGATTGCTGCCAACTGATTCTTTTTAGGTAATAAAGGTCTCGGAAAACATCGCGCCCTTCAATAATTCCCGCACATGGTGGCGCGTCTCTAATTGGCGCAATAATGACGTTGCGAGGTGGCGCGGCATGGCTTGGGGACGCGTCGCGTCGGTAGCGTCGAAACGCCTCACAGCGCCCGTTAACAACTCATTATTGCGCCACCCTTTGATGGTAATTGAATAAATTGGCGCCTGAACGGTGAACGGCGAGTTTACACAGCGGACTGCCAGGGACGCTGCGGTTTTCATAACGGAGGGAAAGGCTGGCGTGAAACTGATGAACGATTTCACCATACGTAAAAGTTTGAGAGGGTAGACAATTTTGGTTTGGAAACGTGGAAAAGCGAACTCTGTGCACTAGCACAAAATTCAGAAAGTGTCGTAAATGATCTCAAATTCTCTTCTCGGAGGTTTTTGGAGTCCCTGAATATGAATCTGTTATCAGAATTACGATTTTCAAAATGGCGGACCCAAAATGGCGGACATAATTTAACCAATTGGTCAAATAATCCAGTAAAAATACCCAATTGTATGTGTTTATGGTTTTTGGAATCGCTGATTACGAATTGGTTATCAAAATGTTAATTTTCAAAATAGCAGACGCGTTATATGGAGGATTGCGCAAAAAATTTGAATTTTTTAGTATTTTTAAATGAAAAATATTTTATAATATTTTTAGGTTTTAATGAGTAAAAAATCTTTCGCGCAATTTTATTTATTTATCAAAAATTTCTTTTATAAAAAATTTGCAACAAAATGAATATTTGTTATTTACTTCTAGTAACAAAAATCTTGTACATCTTCAATGTTCGAATCATTCGATTCGGATTCGGATGTTGACCCACTTGCATCCTGATGCTTGAGAGAAATGGATCTGATGTTACTAAGATTCTGTTGAAGATATCTCTCAAATTCGATTCTCTAGAGCATTTCCTTGCATCATTTAATCTGTATTTCTTGATGTCCTTATTGCGTGACTCTTGGGCCTCTTCAGAAAGTTGTCCGATCGGTAATAATCAATGCATTACAGTCACATGTCCATTAATGTCGCTCCACGTATTTATCCCTAAAAATTAGTCTAACTATTTGTTGAGCACTCCTGAGCAGCCAGATGTTTACTATATTATATTTCATACTATACACTATCACTTCCTTGTCGAAATAGAGACTCGCGAAGACATTTTTAAAACTACTTTCGAAAATCGATTTTAGAAAAAATGTACAATTGTCTATGTTTATTTGTTGTAAAATTTAAATATTTCAAACATAAAACAAGCAACAACTGTGCATAACTATATATTCTGCATACCTTCAGAAAGTGATTCCATTTTGCACAATTCAAATTAAGATAGTTTCATCTGTTTTACAGCACTTCGAAACAGGCCAAAATTTTTCGACGTGTACACATGCTTAGAGACGGCTGAATGTCGACTGATGTCAAGGCGACCCTAGAGCAAGTATATACCTGCCCTGTCCGGAATTTTATTCTACGACTATCCGTAAACAAGATCTAAGCGTGTACAGACGAATATATACAACTCAAAAATTTGGCCAGCTTTTTAGGATTCTGCCCCACTGTGCGATGTGGAGGATAGCAGGGGGAATATCCGAAGAGATAGAATTCCATTGTTTCCATTATCTTCGATTTGGTTTTCAATGGTTTCAGTGATAAGCGGATTGATGGTATTTTCCAACATATCCAAATAAATGTTTCGCTACTTTTTTGTACCAAACGAGAATCACTCGTAGAAAGTGGATTTGATATAACAAGAACATAAGTATCTGACTTGTGAATAAAGTATAGTAACTGGAGACTGTGTGGAAAGTGCAATACCCTAGAAAGCACGTTCAGATGGCTCTCTTTACTCCGTTCGAAATAAGAAACCTTTAGGTATTGATATCCACTTATAATACATCACAGTGATGCCCCGCATATACACGTTTTCAAATGGATATATTGGGAACTGAAACTTTGCAATTGTATTGGATTTCCCAATTTTTGTTTGCACATAAACATTCAAAATTCTCTCGCATGCTAGAAGAAAACCCTCATATCAAAAGTCGACAAAAGTAGTACCTATCTATCATGCAAGTCTTAAAATGTTCTCGCTGGATCGTATTTGTCAAATTTCTCACATGAAACTTTGCTCTTTTAATAGTCATCTACCTAAGGTAAAGAAAAGAGTTTATAGCTAACAGTGGAAACATTGTAAACTATAATTTCTAGGTTTTTTACACGAAAATAGCCCGATTGAGAAAGTGCTACCATATAGATGCAAAGTTAGTACTTGCAGTCTCAGGCAGTGGCGGCTCATGGCAAAATTAAACAGGTGTTCTGCAAATCCGAACTTAATACCTATTTTTTATATGTCACGTCGATCCTGTGCTCCTCCTTGGCAGGACATTTGTCGATCACCTTCCCGTTGAAATTTTGGATGGTCGAAATAAATTCCTTTTCAATGGACAGCATCGACAACGCTGGCGATCCTGAGTCATAGTATTTCTAAGAAAGGTCTTGATTCTTTTCAATGTTGAGAAATTTCGCTCAGCCTCTGATATTGACAAAGGAGTTGTAATAATAATTTCTAATAGCTTTTTTTTTAGTGTTTCCTCCAAACTATTTTGAATCAAAAATTTCAAAAGAGTCATAGTTCCATGTAAATCTCGGCAATCATTCCGTGCACAAATAAAACAGACAAATCTGTCTTTAAACGACTTTTTTCTAATTCGGGCTAAGCCAAGCAGGTAATTTCCAACTTATCATCAGGGAACTTACCTCAGTATTCCCCAAAGTGTTCGGGGAAAAAAACGGATGCGGCTACCAAATGATCTTTGATTTGAAATCTCTCATTTGCAGAATTAACTCTATTGTCGCATACTTCTAATGCGGCAACTCGGTAATCGTGACTGCTATTATTACGTCGTCTCCTTTTGTTGCCTTGGGGTTCATTGCAAATACTTTTGGCTTCAGTTATTATGTCATCAATTTTATTTCTCACATCGACAATACATTTTTCAAAATTATCGATAGCCGTTTTAACTTGCGCTGGCTCGGTTTTTCTCTTCTGCAACTGGTTGAACAAGATGTCGACGTGAGGCATGACATGATGAAAAAATGTCAACCAAAACACGAAAACAGAATCGTTTAGCATACCGCAAGCTGCCTTGCAAACGGTTTATTTTTTAAATGGCCTTTGGCGTTCTAGCCTATTCGGCCACGAGAATGTATATATATATATATATATATATATATATATATATGTAAATCTTTAGGACAAACACACGACGCCTCAACATCCATGGCTTCGGTTATTTCCGAAGGCCGGATTCAAACTCGCGGCCCGGCCAGTCGGCTGATCAGTAGCACGACACTCTGACCTACCTGGCCAACCGAGGTCCCAAACGGTTTCATTAGCGAAATTTTCTTCTATTTCTTCCATGCGTTCATTGAGTGATTCTCTGTTCTCAAACACTACATTTATTGTTCTAATATTAAAATTCCCACGAGTTGTTGCTCCTTGGGGAATTTTTTCCCCACAATTCTGTTCAGTACCTCTACGCGTTGAGGGGAATTATTAAACAATCCCGGAATATCTTTCAAATCCCCAAAGAATACCCAAACTTGAGCATTTGCGGAAGCAGCTTGGGACATAATCAGGTTTAACTGATGCGCATAGCAATGCACATAGTCAGCAAATGGATATATTTGTTTAATGTTTGCCTGTATTCCAGCATTATGTCCGCTCATTACCGCGGCTCCATCACAGCTTGGTAAGGGAAATTTCATATTAATGGATCTACGACGCTCAAAATATGTCTTGTGAGAGTATCAGCGTCACATTTTAGTTGGGTTTAGTTGAAAAGCAGCTAAGGGTGAACTACGCCTTTCATCACTTTATCTTTAATTTTTTTTTATCCTCAAGTTATTTATAATGATGAATAAAGACCATTTATTATTATTATTATTATTATTATTTTTCTGGATTCATATAATTCCAAAAACGTTCTACTGGTTCGCTGTTAAATACGTATCTGAAAATTGTTACCAGTTGGGTTTTCCCCGAAATGTCCGTTGTTTCATCTGCTATTATCGCCAAATACAAGGCTCTGTTAATCTGTTTTATTATTTCTTCATGACAAACTTCAAGAATACAATCCAGTAAATCGTTTTGTATTTCTTTCGAAGTTCCTTCAAATATTGAATCATTTTTTATGTGTTCGCTTAAGGTTGTATCAAGCTCAGCAGAAGAATTGATCAGTCCACGAAATATTCCCGGGTTTTGGGAGCTCTCGGTTTCGTCATGGCGCCGTAGCACCAATTCAGATGATCCGCAAAATTTTATACCATCGATTATTTTTGATAGAACGTACCTGTTTTCTGTAACGGTACCATTATGCTGTTGTATGTTTCTCCAATATGCTGAATCTAACTGAGCTCTGATGTTAACAGTCCCCAATAAAGCCAATTCCATCGAATTATGAAGATGTGTTTTAGAGTTTTTATGCTTCTTAGTTCTTTCACTCAGGTGCACCAAATCTGTAACACCTCCCTCCGTCCAAGCTTTGTCACCGCCTAAAGGTAAGCAGAAAAGGGCATTCTTCCTGTTGCACCCACAAATCCAGTCATTTCTGGTGTAAATCTCCCTGCCTGAAATATGTCCGGCAGCGGTCGACCCGCGACCTTCAGCTCAATTTTTTCTTCAAATGTGTGTTTCCAGATTCGTTTCACGCTGAAAAGTCTGTAAACCACATCCATTGTCTTGCACTACCCTTCTACACAGCCACAGTCAGTCAGTGAGTCACTAGTCACTCAACGTAAGACCCAAAATAAATAAATAAAAAATTTTTCGCATTCAAATTTTAAGCCAGGTCCCGCGACAAGACCAATATGCCAATGCCGAGAACCGAGCACCGACCGACCAATCAGATATAGTACTTCGCATTAGATCTGTACGGATCTGTATAAATTGATTATGGTTATGCTTAAATCACGCATTTGATTTTGTGGAGAGAGACAAAAGCATGCGCGTGCGGCTTGTGTCGAAGAAGTGCACAGACCCTTTTCAAGTGGCCCATGAATAATGTTACGCTGCGGTCGCGACGAAAATGACAAGTATACAATTGGTCGATTATAATGCTTTCTTAGTACAAAACAGACTCGACGCCGTGTCTTGCGGGGGCAGGCCGGTATTGTTTCTATTAGTGTGACAACATGGAAAATAAATAATGATCAAATTACTACTGCTTTTTTCTGTTAAGACAAAGTTTTGGTAGTTCTGCAGCTCTGCAGAACTTAAGGGCCAGCCGCCCCTGGTCTCAAGACTGTATACTTCTTTGAGTTTACATGAAAAATTTTCCCTCTGATGCATTTACTCAATTAACAAATGCTTCCTTCCAAGCAATTCCAGCTTCTAAGCCTTATCGCTAGAATCATTGTTCTTCAGATCTCACATGAAAATTTCTTCCCACAAACTTCTCAATGAAACTCAATTAAAAATTAAATAAATTAAAAACATCAGTTCAATGCCACATAACTACGGAATTATTACCTGGGGATCCACGGATAATAACCATCTAAATTCTTTACAAATAATACAAAAACTATTCATAAAAACAATTCATGACAACACCTTTACTATATCACTCCAGATTGCTGTTTATATAACCAAAACTTTTAGATATAAAAAATTATTTTGGTATAATGTTATACCAGAATTCCATGAAAACAAACATTCGACCATTTATAAAAATTATGAATATGGTACTAGAAATAAAAATAAACTAATAATTATTACAACACCAAAAAAAGAAATAATGTTGAAATCTTTTATATACTTTGGTCTAAAATTATATCATAACTTACCAAAGTATATTAGAGAAAACCGAATGTCATTATTAAAAATAGGTTTATACGAGTGGCTTTTGAAAACTGATATAAATATGATCTAATTTGTAAAAAACTAATATTTGAATATCTTTTCTTCATTGCTATGTTATATGTATGTTGTGTTAGCATAATATCCGCATACAAGGATATTTTCCTTTTGTGGCATATCAATTTGTTCACAATTTGTAATTGATATGAAGAAATTATTGTTATCATTATTATTATTACTATTATTATTATTATTATTATTATTATTATTATTATTATTATTATTATTATATATTCTGTTTGTAGCGTAAAAGATTCCAGTGGTCAGATCTACTCTACCAATCATCTAATTTTGATTAGCTAATTGTATTTCACGTAATAGAAATAATACCCATCTCTTATCTATAATCTAACACACCAGTGGTACTCGGTGAAATGGCGGATCAGATTGAAGAGACACAATTTACGGAAAATCCCCCGTTAACGATGATAATGCTATTAACATGAAAATATATTTCAAACATGTATATGAGGGATTATTTCATTTCATACATCCCTAA